AAAAAAATTAATACTTAATATTATAAAACTTATTTTTTATTATTAATGATTAATAGCAAAATAATTTATATTTTTTTTTTATTTTAATATTTAATTTTATGCAGATTATAGTTTGGTATTTTTTTAAATGTAATTTATTTATTAGCTATTTTTTATAAATAAATAAAATTATTTTAATTTTATTAATATTGTAAAAATAAAAAAGTATTAAAAGAATACTATTTTTATTAAATATAAATAAAAAATAAAATTTTTTTTTTGTTTATTACATATTATACTTCAGTCTTTTAGGTCAAGAATAAATATTTTTGTTATACATAATTATATATATTTTGACCAAATCAAGAAAGTAATATAAAAAAAATTAAGAATATAATTTTTGCTTTTAAGATAAATGAAATAAAAATAAAACTCTTTTTGGTAGATCTTACGTCCAAAAATTTCCCAATAATAATTTTGCAAAAAAGTAACTTTATTACTGAACCACATAAGAAATATACATTTTTGCTTGCAAAAATAGAACTTGCGACTTTTAGTCTACAATATTCAGAAAAAACCTGGGGTTTTTTAAGAAAATATTGGCTTTTTTCTTTTATTTTGCTGACTGTAGTAATAGTATTAGACTAGCTACATCTTAAGTGCTTCTTCACTTTACAGTTAGGTCTGTTTCACTAATATAAACAAGTATATTGAAGAAATATATTAGAAATATAATTATTAATGACAGTTAATATCTGCTTTTATAACTTTTAGTATACAAATTTTTCAAATTTTTCTTATTTTTGGTGCTGAATTCGCTCAAAATGATCAACATGAAAAAGAGATTATCCATTAATGTTACACATCTAGGGGTAAGGTTGCTTGCCGAAATCTAGGGGTTTAGGCAAGATGGCGTTTTGCCGAAAAGCGAAATTCTGCCAAAACTATATTAAAGTTATATTAAAAAACTGGCGAAACTTTGGAGAAAGGCGAAACTGCCGAAACTTATTATAAATGCCGAAACTGCTGAAACTCTGCCGAAACTATAATAAATCTATAGTAAAATTTTGACGAAACTAATCGTAGGATTTTGAAGAGGTTTAGACAAGCAACCTTATCTAGGGGTTGAAAACCCCAAACAGGTGACTGGTGCAAATGTGTTATACAATACTTATAAAGGCACATCATATGCCTTATTAGATTTTAACTCTTTAAAGAAAGATAATATGCAGTTACAAATGTTCACGAATAATAAGAGGATTATAGAGAGATATAAATCTTCATATGAGTTTATTAGTAATAAGAAAAATGCGAACATTAAATTTTATATATTCAAATATCTAACATTCTAACTGCAGTAATGCTTGCATTACCATTATCCAAAAGGACGAGAATTAAATACTTTAATAGAATTAGATTTCTATTGCTGGAAAAATACCAATTGATATATAATTGGTTATCATCTGAATTGTCCAGAAATAATAAAACAACTACCTATATACATTTTTCAGTTAGACAGTCTACCTGGTACTTTGGATTTCATGTGCCATGTAATATATAAAGCTCTGCACAGGTCAGGTTAGGTCGAGTTATCTGGTTAACCTGAACTAAAATTTTTTTTTAGGTCAGGTCAGATTAGGTAAACCGTTCTGATTTAACCTGACCTATTTGACCCAAAAGTATTTGGGTCATTTTAGATAACTTGGGTTACCTGAAGTTTTATTATTAAATATTGTAAAAAAATGTTTTATAACATTTTTAACTTTTTGTTTTTATATATAAAATGCCAAAACTATTTGTTTTGGTATTTTTCCTTTGATTTTACATGTAAAAATACTGAAACTGATAGTTTTGGCATTTTTTTTTTGATTTTACATGTAAAAATACCGGAATTATTAGTTCTGATATTTTTCTTTTTGATTTTACATGTAAAAATACAGAAACTATTAGTTTTGGTATTTTTTTTTCAATTTTACATATAAAAATGCTGGAATGATTAGTTCTGGCATTTTTTTTTGATTTTACATGTAAAAATGCCAAAACTATTAGTTCTGGCATTTTTTTTCTGATTTTACATGTAAAACTGCTAGAATCATTAGTTCTGGTATTTTTCCTTCTGATTTTTAATACATGTAAAACCGCTGAAACTGATAGTTTCAGTATTTTTTTCAATTTTACATGTAAAATGTCAGAATCATTATTAATTTTGGCATTTTTTAATTTATTTAACCCAAATATATGTTGGATTAACAGATCAGATCAAGTACTGACCAGTACTGACCTAACCCGTGTCAGGTCATGAATTTGATAATCTGATCTGAATATTTTAAGTCAACCTATTAAATTACCTGATCTGTCAGGTCAGGTTGCTGAGCTTTAGTAATATATGTTCGCAATTGTGTGCTATAGTCTTATTTAAGGTTGCTTACGGGTTTAGGCAAGATGGCGTTTTGCTAAAAAGTGAAATTCTGCCAAAACTATATTAAAGTTATATTAAAAAACTGGCAAAACTTTGGAGAAAAGCGAAACTGCTGAAACTTATTATAAATGCTGAAACTGCCGAAACTCTGCCAAAACTATAATAAATCTATAGTAAAATTTTGACAAAACTAATCGTAGAGGTTTAGACAAGCAACCTTAGTCTTATTAAAGGACAGAAGAATATATTGGAAGCATCATATGGGCTGATTTGTCTACCTTTAATTAAAATATTAATTTTATTACATTTTTATTATACAAAATACTATATAATATCTGATATAATTCGGGTCAGCACTATAAAGTTGACCCAAGTAAAAGATTTAATTTAAACTCTTTTGCGGTTTATTTTACTAAAATTTAATTATTTTGACCTATTAATCAGGTGGTATTTGTCTGCATTATGTTACTCATAATATATTCAATGTATTGATATTATTTCCAATTAGAAGCATCGGTATCAAGGTCTGACTGTTCGCTATTCTGATAATAAACGTGATTTACAATATAATATACAGTAATTGTGTACTGATAATTCAATATACCGATACTTTTTTTCTAAAATAACCTCATCAGTACATAGAGGTTTGACTGTATTTAAAAACTCACAGCTGCTATTATGACAAAATAGTATATTAGATCTAGTGACTTGGCATTTCTATATAGTAAAATAAATAGTCATAGTACTTTTAATGAATTAACTGAAAATATTTTTCTTAATTATATGTTCAATAGAGATGACTTCATAATGATATGTGCTTTTAAAGAAGATACTCTTCCAAAAAAGAAGGTTGTAACAAAAAAAAATTACGATATAATATATCATATTTTTATTAACTGTAATTTAACAGCTGCAGAAATTGCAAATCATAGATATAAATACAGTAAAAATGAATATTGTTTATGATATGAATTTTATAGATCAGTGGTATAATGAATTATTACAAGCGTTAGAAAAGTGCAAAGAGACTAAACACTAATCTAGACGTGATAAACATAATGGTCATAAATAGCATAAATAGTATAATATGATTTATGATTAAGAGTTCGCTCTTAAAGTGTATTTAGTAGAGCTCCGAACGAGTCGAGTCGAGTCGAGTTATATGTAAACTCGATTCGACTCTAGTTAAATCGAGTCGAGTCGAGTCGAGTTAAAATTATAAAAATATAAATTCGACTCGATTCGAGTCGAGTTGGCCTGTCAAACCGAGTCGAATTAAATCACGTGATTTTATTTGGCTATGCCGATCATTTCCTTTTTTTGGTGATAGCCGTTCCACCAAAATTCCATTTTTGTAATTTTCAAAAATTTTTCGTCTCAGATTTTGTGTAACATAATTTCCAAAAAAGGAAATTCCATAAATTTGGCCGGAATTATGTTTAATTCGGCTTAACTCGACTCGACTCGATTTTATTAAATTATTAACTCGACTCGAATCGATTTGATTTGATTGTAATTTTTCGACTCGACTCGACTCGACTCGTGAATCAACTCGACTCGTTTCGGAGTACTAGTATTTAGTATGACAAAAATTTTATTTCTTTTTTATCTTTTAAATAGAACTAACCTTATATTTTCCCTTTTCATCATTCTACACCTGATAGTATTTACGTGTAGCTAATATTCATTAGAAAGAAAAAATACAGTTTATATGAAGAAGGTTATTGGTCAAATTTTTAGATTTATTATGACGAGTCACCTTTGATCTCAAGGTGGCAGGTCAGTCTTTTCCTTCAGGAGGGGCAGTATATTGATAATATTTAAAATTAATTTAGAATACTTTATTTTATTTTACTTTTGTAAATATATTGTATTACTTTAACATAATTATCAATAAACATGATCATGCCTTTACAAAGAAAAAAAAAAAAAAAAAAAAAAAAAAAAAAGACAAATGAGATGTTAGAACATTAATTATTTGATAAATTTGAAAAATGTTATAAGAAAAAGGAAGAAGTTGAAAATGAAAAATTAGTATTTTGTTTTTTAAATAAGATGAAATTATGAAAAAGTAAGTAAATTTTAGTTTTATACATTATAATTAATTAATTATATTATGACAAATCAGCCATAAAATGAATATATTAATATTTGTGATTCATTTTTTTTATTAAAGAAAAACAATCTGAAAAACTGTAACAAGTAAATAATAGGATGAGTATTATTAAGATTACATTTCTATTTCTTGAAAATTGAATAAGAAATATATTTTAATTTTTTAATATTTGTTAAGTAATTCATTTTTGAAAATGGAATTTTAGTAGAATTAATAGTTTAATCTTTTTTATATAGTAAAATTATTAATACTTTCTGAATATATTTAATGTTATTATAGAAATATTTTATATATTTATATATAAAATATAGTTTTTAATAAAAAAGCTACTTTCATTAAAAAAAATATTACATATAATAAATTATTTTATCTGATAGCAGTTTGAGCAAATTAATTTTTACTATAAAATTGGTAATTATTTAATATTTTTTAACAATCCAAAAGATTAAACTTTAATTTATGTAAAATTTTACTGTATAAATTTGTAGGTATTAAGTAAATTAGATTATTTTGACAAATTGATTCTTTCTAAGTTTTTTTATTAATAAAAACTTTCAAGATTTTTATATATTAGATATTATCAATGTAGGAAATATATTGGTATCAAAAATGAATACTTATAAAGAAATTCAAGATATGGCTTGCTTTACAGGTAAAATTAATCGTTCATTTCTTTTCCAAAATTCAACTAAAGCATTGGCAGTTCTATCAGGAGCATCTTCTTGGACCATATGGCCTACATCAGGTAACACAAGAAGTTGATACTTACCTTGCATTTGTGCAATGGTCAGAGGTTTGTCTAATCTATCAGTACCCGCCAGTATAAGAAATTTTGCTGCTTTTGCTGATAAGAATTTTTCTGATAGTCCGAGAAACCATCCTATAATATATTTTCTCTTGAATATCTTTTTTAAGTAACAATAATATTTTGTTTTAATTATATTTACCTTCCCAATATGGTTGAGATGTAGCTAAATCAGTTCTCCAAACATATTTGGTAGTATCATTTTGTTTCGATTCTATTAGTATACTTGGTAAAGTTATTCTAGATGATTCTACATTTCGAATAGTAGAACTTTTTACGCTCCATTGAATTGCATTTTCTATTGACCTAAATTCAGTCGGTCTAGTTCTCAAAAATCCCAACATTCCTGAAATTGCTTCTAGAGCTGATCCTGAATATAATTCATGTATAAATTAATTTTTAAATTCTTTACAAACATAAACATGAAATTTAAAGATTTAAACATACCCTCAACAACATCTATCACAGCAATACAGGTCATAGATGGAATTAATCCTTTTGAAGCTGCATCTGCAACAACACACCCTCCCATACTAAATTTAAAATTTAAATTTTTTAAAATTGTCTAATCATCTTGAAATGAATGGCCCAGAAGTTAATTGAACATACCTATGTCCGATCAAGAATATATCTCGACTTGTTATAACATCATCTCCATAAGCAGCTTTTAACACTTTAACTAAATCTTGACTTAATATATCCAACGATAAATTATTATCATCTGATGTCTTAGTATATCCTAAAATTCATTTTAAATATTAGTCTCAACTGATAATTACAAATAAACCATAAAGTACCATAGAGTATATATAACATACCATGCCCTCTACAATCATATGCAAACATTGTACAACTACCATTCATCAATTGCTTAATATACGAACATGATAAAGCAAATGATAAAGCAGAATATGCAGCACCATGATGAAAAACAAAAAGAGGACAATTTTCCGATGTACCATGAATCTCATATGCTTTAAATACGTAAATCGATTAAAGTGAACTTGTCAAGGATCTTTAAAAAAATAAAAAATAAAATCATTTAAAAAATTTAAAGAATTTAAAAAATTTTAAAAATGATTGTGTGATTTTTTGAAAATAAAAGGATATATCTTCGGAATCTGGTATTTTAATATCTCTACAACTATCAAAACATGTATCCCAAGAAACCGGTGTATAATCTTTCTTACGACGCGGTTTTATAAAACTAAAGTATATATATATAAAAAAAATAAAGAAAATATAAGAATTATGAAAAAAAAAAAAATAATAATTCATAAATAATGTAATGTTAACAACTCACGTAGTAGACAAACTTTCAAGGATATTATTTTCTTCTTCGTAGTCTATTTCTTCTAAAACCTCGTCTTCTTGTACAGACGCGGTATTGTGTAAATAGTTACCACTATTACCACCACTATCTCCAATACCACCTAAACCACCCTTCCCTTTAAACAATTCTTTTTGTAGTGACATTTAAAATGTTAAATTGTTTAGAATTATTCGAATTATTCGAGGAAAAAAAAATGCTCATTAATGATCTATACCGACATGGGATAGATACACGTGAATACCTTTTTTTTTTTCCAAAAATGATCAAGTAGTTAGTTCCACGTATAAAAGCAATGCATTGATCGCTTTCGTTAAATTTTCTTCTTTTAAAATATAATGAAATTATTATCGCAAACACAAGTTTCAAACTTTTGTTTTATAATTTTTTTTCTTTTGCTTTATCTCAACGTCTTAATAGTAGCAAAAGAAGAACAAGAAATTAATATAGACGCATCGTCAAAATGGGGACAAATAATGTCAAATTTACCAGCTGATGAATTTACCGATGATATTAATATTGATAGTTTAACAACACAAGAATTAACCGACTGGGCAAAGGGAATTGCACAAAAATGCTTACAGGGGAAAGCTTCATCTGTACATAGCATTGACGAATTGACACCACCGGAATCAGCAAAAAGTCTCGCTAGTCAAATGAAATATAAAAATAAACCTTCACATGCTTCATTAGAGGAACAAACATTTTATACTACAGCAGATAAACAAATAGAAATTGAGAAAACGTTATTAATTTTAGATAAAATTTATGATTCAGTTGAGGTTGTTCCTTATTTTAGGGCAGAAGAGGATTTTTCACCAAATGCACCAAATTATGCACCACTTCAAACAATTCTTAGTTCAATTGCTATAAGATCGGTTCAATCATTTGATAATTATATATTACCTTCTATTTGCTCAACTACAAATACAAGTTTTCATAGACTTGCGGATAGAACGATATTCTATAATTCATTATCAGCAGGATTATCCTCAGCAGTTATCTCACACGTTTCCAAAGGATTAAAGATTGATGTATTGATTGATATTATAAGTACATTGGCACTTCAATTACATATGGTAAAATCTATAGCTTCATTGGGCGGATTAGATATAAACGATGATGCAGTTCGGACATTGATTTATTTATGTATCGTTTCGGATGGGATTAAAAGTTCAATAACGGGAACAGCGAAAGAATTGGCAATTATAATAATGCGTAAAATGGTAGTAGATAAAATTCCCAAATCTGCTTTAAAATCTATAAATAAACGCGTTGCGATGAAATTACTTAGTAAAGAGGTTGGAGATAAAGGAATAATTAATTTTGCTTTATTAATTCCTTTTGTGGGTGAATTAGTGACATTTGTTAGTGATTCTTTGGCTACGTATAGTATTGGACAAGTTGCTAAATACGTTTTTTGTCCAATGGATGATCAAAACGAAAAGGAAAATACGGATTCTCCACCTCCTTATCCTGGTAGAATTGGACTTTAAAATCATAGAATTATTTTTGTTATTATTTTTTTTTTTTTTTTGTTATAATTTATAATTTACTACTAGATTTATAATTTACTACTAGAAGGTTTAACTAAAGAACCACCATCAACAGAAATAGTAGCACCATTAGTAAAAGCACCAGCTTTACTAGATAAATAAATAGCAGTGCCAGCAATATCTTCAGGTGCACCAATTCTACCCAAAGGTACATTTGACCTAATAATTTCACCATAATCGTTTAATGTTTTAGCCATCATCTTTGATTCATAGGGTCCAGGTGCAATATTATTAAATGTAATTTGACGATTTGATAAATGTCCTGCCATTACTCTAGTTAAATGATGTAATGCTGCTTTTGAAGTTGGATATGCGTAAGTCTCCAAGAATGGTGTATATATACCATCAATTGATCCAATATTAATTACTCTAGCTGGATCCTTTGATGATGCTGCTTTCTCAAGTAATGGTAAACATCTAAATTTTTAAAAATCAATCAATGAATTTATTTATATATCTTGAAATTATACGAATTTGAGTCAAAACTTACGCTTGTGTTAAACTGAAAATCCTTTTAACATTCAAGTTTATAACTTTCTAAAAAAAAAAGAAAAAAAAAATCATCCATCAAAATCAAGTTTTTTTTTAATAAAAAGAAAAAAAACTTTTTTTTTCATATAATAACCTCAAACGCTTCATCCGGATAAGAATCAAACGGAGCACCCCAATTTGCACCAGCATTATTGATTAAAACATGCAACTCTATTGTATGTAATAATATATTATTAACTTTGAAAAATATTATCATCATAATTCAATAAGTTTAATAACTTACTTCCTTCACGTTTTTCAATCTCACCAGCTAATCTTTTGACTTCACTTAAATTTTGTATATCGGCTGGTATACTAAAAGCTTTCCCTGGACCTGATATGATAAAAAAGATTAATTTATATCTTTGTAATTGATTTAAAAAATTTTGTGAATCGTACCTTTATCAGATAAGTTTTTAGCAACCTTATCACAAACATCTTTATTTCTTGAAGAAATATAAACTTTTGCTCCATTAGCAACGAATCCTGTTGCTATCATAAGTCCAATCCTAATTAAAGTTTATTTATATATATAAATATATATTTTTTTAGTTTAAAAACAAAACTAATATCATTTTTTAGTATAAATATTTCACCCTCTTGATCCTCCTGTAATCAATACAATTTTATCTTTAACGCCAAAAAGTGAATTCAAATCCATTTTTTTTTTTTCGTAAAAGTTTTAATTCTTGAATCTTGACCTAGACAAACATCCCCCCTAGACAAAATACCAGTTCTTCAACATGTTTGATGATCAGGTGATCAATAAAATAATGGCCAATCAAACCCAATTTTATTTTATTAATTATCTAAAAGAACCAATTAAATGGTTAATTACTCGAATCACGCGAAATAACGTTATAAAGTCTAAACGATTTAATTTTTTGTGGCATCCTTTGCCAAGAAATTTTGTAAATCAACGATTCCTAATTCTACTAGTTCGATCATCATTATCGAGATTAATCTGTACATATTATGGAAATATAAAGGTATAGTTTCGGAAAAGGTAATCTTGTACTATTTCTGGTAAATGGTTAACCAATCCTCAATGCTATCTTTTTAAATACGAATTTTTTAAAATTTACACGTGTCATGAACGAAGCAGTTAATAAAGTTAACTGATATATGACTGCGAACGTGACAATATGATGACCTATAAAAACAGAGTTTTGTTTCCTTGACTAGTTGACTCGGTAAAATTTGTTCATCATTTCTCAATATAGAATTTATAATAAAAGTAACGACACATAACGTCATTGTCAGTAAAAAATTTGGATGTTCTTTGGAGAATAAACTCCTATTTTTTTAACTTTTAATTCATTGAGACAATAAAAAAAATTTTTTTAACGCCACAATTTGCCACGCTGACTAAGGAACATAATTTCAGCCTAAATTTTTGAGTAACATAGGAGAAAGAAAAGGCAAAAAGAGAATTTTGTAACAAAAGACATATAAAGTATATTATGCAGTTAAATTTATTTATAATTAATTACCAACTTTAATTTTTTAAGATTAACGTACGTAACGTACGTATTAACAGTACATGCTCTAATTGCTCTATGTTGGTAAATTTTTTGATGCATATTGTAATAATCATAATGAATTGGATTTATGAATTAATAATTTTTTATCGATTCTTTTTATGGAGTTTAATTTTTTTTATTGTTTTTCTTTTTTTTTATTTTCTCCGAGTAAAAAAAAAAATCATATTCTAAAAAGTTTCAAAAAAAATTGGTCAATTTTGTCATACTTACTGCGCCATAATTAACATAATTAAGTCATATTAAAAACGCATGCAATCATTTAATTGGTATCAAATTTTTTTTGCCAAGAAATCTCTTTACGGGTAAATAAATAATCATTGCTTCCATTTGATGTTTAAAATTTAAAATTTTATTTTTATGTTTTTGAATATATATATAATTGTTATATATCGTACATATACTGTATATATCAATATATACTGCATATATAAAATATACTGATATGAATATATATATATATATATAATATATAATATATATATATATATATATATGAATAATAAAATAAAATACAAGTAAGTAAATAATATATTACATTTAAAATATGAAATAAATGGCATAATGAACGATATAATGTAAGAAGAAGAAAATGAACAACCAGCAATTTTCATGAATTATTTTTGAGTGTGAGGTAGGTTAAAAAAAAAAGAAAAGAAAAGAAAAGAATGTGATATTATTATTATTGTGTTATATAAATGAATGAATTATTAAAAGTTAGATACATCAGACATAAATTAGTATAATTAAAAACTTTTGTTGAAAACCGTTCAAAAAATCTATTAATTAAAAAAAAAAAAAAAAAATTTCTATCTATAATGATAATGTCTATAATTTTTATATACAAAAAAAAAAAAGTTGAAGAATTATTATTATTATTATTATTATTTTATAATGAATATACTATATTATATATCTGATGATAAAATTAACTTCTTGCACCCCATTTAAATTTTCTTCTGAAATAAGATGAATGATGATCATCTTGTTGTTCTTGATGACTCATTTGACGTTCTANATAATGTCTATAATTTTTATATACAAAAAAAAAAAAGTTGAAGAATTATTATTATTATTATTATTATTTTATAATGAATATACTATATTATATATCTGATGATAAAATTAACTTCTTGCACCCCATTTAAATTTTCTTCTGAAATAAGATGAATGATGATCATCTTGTTGTTCTTGATGACTCATTTGACGTTCTAATAAACGCCTATTTCTCATATTATTATCATTCATAAATTCAATTGAAATATAATCATCTTCTAATACTTCATCGAAATCGATCATCCTTTGTTTTTGCTTATTGATTGATGAAGATGGAGATTTTTTCTTATGTAAATTCCTCTTTCTTAAATGTATTATGGTCATGATTATTTTATGTGCAATTGGTTCACTAGGATAAAAGAAACTTGGACTACATTCAAAAGAAATTGGGGTTAACCAACGTTCACCACCACGAGTTTTATTCACTGAAGGAGGAGGAGTATCAGTTATTGAATAAATGAATCTATAAGGAATTCTCAAATGAGAAGTACCATGACCTATACGATAAACATGTTGAACCTTATTTATAGTCTCTTCATGTGATTTTATGTTAAGAGACAAAGGTTTTTGTAAAAGATTGACTGCAATTTTTGAGGAATTATTAGGAGAAGTTGAAGAAGGAATTATTGTTGTTAAGGGAGTCGGAGTAGGAGACGGAGTAGTTGTTGCTGTAGTTGTTACTGTAGTTGTTGCTGTTGTTGTTGACGTCATTTTAAAAGGAAGATGATTTTTATTGTTCAAACCTGAAATTGAAATTTTACTTAAAATAGGATTTCTAACCATGGGAGAATTAATAAATCTCATTGGTTGTTTTGATCTTGGTTTAAAGATAAATTTCCCAGTTTGTTCGTTATATTTACTAATTTCAAAGTGTATATAAGATTTCCATTTATATTCTTGTTCAAATGTTAACAATATTCCAACATTTGGTTCTTTGAATTTATTGAATAACATTTTTGAACTAATTTGTTGGAATCGTTTACATACATTACAAACTTTTAATAAAGTTGGTATATCTAATTCTTTAAAGATTAATAATAAAAGTTCTACTGGAAATTCATCTAAAGATGATATAGAACCTGAGATGGGGAATTTAGATCTCTTGGATTTTACCATGATTAAAAGAGAGAGAGAGAGAAGAGAAGCGAGTTTTAATTTGTATAAAATTAATTAAATAAAATATGAAAGGGGGGGAAGAAAGAAAAAAGAATTTAAGAGAAAAAAATTAAGTCTGTTATTTTTCTAGATAAAAAACTTTCGACGAAAAAAAATTGCATTTATATATAAAAAAAAAAAAAAAATCTTTGTACTTTTTGGGCTTATTTATTTATTTATTATAATAAAAATTTTTTTTAAAGCCGTAAAAGTATTAAAAGTTAGCATATATAAAAAAAAAAAATTTTTTTTTAATAATAAATAAATAAAAAATATATATTTAGTTTATTTAATTAATTTAGTTAATTTTTAATTTTTTTTAAAAAAAAACCATTGTAAAAAAAAATTTTTTTATTTATACGAGTATTTTATTATAAATAATAAACCCTTATTAGAGAGGTTCGGTCAATTACAACCAACCCCTGAACGCATACTAATTTTCTAGAATTTTGATTGGACGAATAAAAAATCAAGATAAGATAATGTTAAACTGTTATATACATCAATTAAATACATATATATAATTTACAATAATCATTAACTGCGTATCTTATTCATAATAAGAAATGTATTCAAAGATATTTTTTGTTCTATTTTATACAATGAAGTTTTGAGTTTATACAATGAACAAATAAAAATTGCGGGGTAAACAGAGAAGGTAAAGAAAGGTAAAGAAAGGTAAAGAGACTATTGTTTAAGGCTTTACTAATGGAACTTCCTTTTTTATAAATAATCAATAACTCGCAAATTTTTTTAAGCCATAATAGAGAAAAGGCTTAATTTCCCTATTATTCTCGCTTTTTAAATTCTATTTTAGAAAAAAGAGGCTAAATTTTACCAAATATTATGATTGCATTTTGCGTTACATTCAATTATATATTAATATATTATACTAATTACGATCACAATTTTTTAAGGTTTACATTTGAATAAACTTGTCAAAAATTCAAAAATTTAAATTTTTTTAAATTGAATTCAATAATATACTATGAAAAATAGTACAAGAAATAGAGAAATATTGACTTAAATAAATTTCACATATCCAAATTCAAGACAAATTCCAGACAAATTCCAGATAAAATTCCAGACAAATTCCAGACAATTCCAGATAAATTCCAGATAAATTCCAGACAAATTCCAAATAAATTCCACAAACCCACAAATAACGCAATTTCTTCATCTTTTTTGTCGTTCCCCCACAATTAAGATATCCAATTAAAGAAAATAAATATAACCGAGTTTAAACAGTACAATAAGAAAATATTTTCCCTTCTCGAAAAGTTATTTTTATAATTTTGTAACGTAAAACAAAATGCTTTTATTTATTTTATGTGAAATGTTGCACGAAAATCTAGGTTCTTCTTGTAAATCACAATAGTAAATCAAGTTATATAATGAAGGTTATATAATGATGATCATTAATTGACGTATTAATTACACAAAGACTTGCAGTTCGCGTTCATGTTTATAAAAAAAAAAGTTAATTACGTCGATTTTAAACAAATATACGCGATTCACTCATTTAAATGATATTATTGCTATAAGTGTTACATCAAAGATAATTAATTAAATTAATTAACATTTTTAAGTATCACTTTGTAAATAACGAAGTATTTTGGCTTTTTAATTTAACTTTTTTTTATATTTTCTTATAAAGTTTCAAATTTGGTAAGTTCCCGTAATAATTCTAATGATTCTTAGAAGAAGATTCCATTGTTTTTTTTATAGAAATGCATTTACTTTACTTGTTTTACTTGTTTTAGAAGTTTGTTACTATAACCATTTATTAATTTGCCTTATATTAGAAATTTACCTTACTATTATCATTGTTATGGCTTTTAAATTGTTCTTTGCTTTTTAAGTTATCTTTGGCTTTGAAATTATTTTATGGCTTTTAACTAATGACTGTGGCTTTTTATTTTGAAGAAAATTTGGGCTTTTTCTCTGAGTTATCAACTTTGCATTATTTAAAAAGTTCGCCGTTATAATCGTTATACCCGTCGCCCGTCGGTATTATATTCTCGTTATATTCCATCGTATATATATATTATAAAGGTTTTTATTTTCAAGTCTTCTAAATAGAATGTTCAAATGTTCAAATGTTCAGATGATGATATTATTGAGATTATGATAAAATGTTACACGACGTTAAACAAAGAAACCTATTTTAAATAATATATCGGAACAATAAATTAACTAAAAAAAAAAAAATTTCGATCAAATCCGTCCTTTCCGTTTCATTCATATTGATCATTGATAATGCATATATGCATATTTCACGGATTATTCTTTTTTTAAAAAAAAAAAATATGAATTGCATATTTAGGAAGGGTTTTACATATTTAGGAAGGAGAAAGAATTCATTTAAAAAAAAAAAATCGATAATCGGTAATTCATTTAATTTGACGAGCTCTTCTTACAAATACGGCAGATCCGTGTACTAATTTGGTTAATGATACAATAATATAAGTCAATGATTTTAATAAATTATTATTCTATTAATGGTAATATTTTACTGGAATGGAAATTCATATCTCAAATTGTAGAAGAACCTTTTCGGGAAAAACCAAAATTATTTTAAATTGTTTCGAAAAATAGAACGTATTAGATATTGTACAATACCCTTGATGATTGCTTAATCCATGGGTTGACTCAGTCCCCCAAGAGCTGTAAGTCTATTGTTGTAGATAATAGATAATTCGGAAATACTATTCATTATAAATTAATAAAGTGTATAAAATGAACTTTATTATTTCGTACTCCACTTTTTTTCCTTTTTAATGACAGCGATTGACAGCGATTAAACGGAAATAATCGATTAATTGATATAATTAATTAATTTAATTTACATTAATGATTTTCGGTGCAAGATTACCAAAAAAAGTAATGGTCATTTGTTTTTTAAATATTATAATTACTTTCACCAATATCACATTACCATCAATCCATTACCAAATTACCACATCCCAAATCCGTTAATAAAATTTTATTTTGATCGTGAAAAACTCGCGGGGCGAATATTTTAAATATTTTGAATATTTCAAAGTTCAAGGGATCCCAACCCAAATTATTTTTAGTATAAATAGTTACACAATGTATACCGGTTCAGGTATTAAAACAGGATACTATAACTTGATATTTTAGCCAATAAGCATGAGAAATATAAGGATTCACAAGTTCCCAAATTTCGGTTACAATTTATATAAATTTGGAAATTCGTGAATATTCATTCCACGTGATTTATTACGATACTCAGAGAAATGAGTATGAACCAGGGTATTTTACAGACTGGAGCATTATATGAGATATTACCATATTGACAGACTGACCGTATTACACTATTACAATATTAAACTATTATTAAACTATAACACTATTAGTTTAATTACACTTATCGCTTACACTATTACACTATTACGAAAACTATTACTGCGGTATATTCAATTTCTACCAACTAGAATTTAGTTACCGGGTCAATCGGTAATTCCCTATTTTTAGGGATTATAACCGAATTGTTTTCAGTTGTTAAAATTTCTTGGATTAACAATGCAAGTATGTAACGATTAAAACGCCATATTTTCAATTTTGATCATCATGTTACAGCTAGAATATTTCTTGGCAATTTTTTTTTTTTTTTTTTGAACATGATATCACATTTCATTAGGTAAATCACACGCTTTGTTTCTTAATGTATGAAAGTATTATATGTAACAAAATATGCTCATTTCCGTGTGAACGATCCTTTCATAAAAAAAAACACAACAAATGAAATGATGATTATTGAACAAAGATATTTTTTTTTGTAAATCATCAATTTTTTTACACAAAGATTAACCGCGTGACTTTGAGTCACAAAATATCTCATTATGACTTAATTCACATAATACAAACATCCCGCCTTTTAGTTCAATAGATGTGTATAAGAGACAGTCATAAAGGAATTTGTTGAAGTGAAAGGTTTGAAATATGAAAATTTATCTATTATATATATTTGTTTATTAGGGAAGTAATGACTTTCAATTCTCTAATATGCAAAAGATGCGGGTCATTAAAAAAATGGAGCTTATTTCATATTTTCGAATTTTTTTTTTTTACTTTAATATAGTATTCCTTTTATTTTACATTACTAATTTCGAGCTTATATTTATCGTGACATTATGATATGAATTATTTGACATATTAATTTATACACTCTTTTAAACAATCAAATACCACTATGCAATATNTTTTTTTTTTTTGATCTACAAACGAGTAACAAAGACGTAATAAATGATTTTCCGAATTCCTTTTGAAACATGACCAAAATTTTTTTTTCGATGCATTATTGCATAAGCGATTTAAAATGTATTTATTGTGTAAAATGTGTAACTAAAAGATCAAAGGAAATTTATTATCTTTATTTTATCAAAAAAATCAAAAAAAGAAACTAATCTTATCTTGATTTTCGTGCATGTTTCAATATAAACATTTATTTTTAAAACATTTACTACTATAAAAGTAAATAAATCAAAGTAGTTTTTTTTTATTTATTTTCATTCAAAATGATTGATTTATAAAAATATCCATGTTTTTAATTTCTTATTTTAGTCTTATATCCTCCATAAATCATTTGATAGTACGTCATATGTCATATGGGATACTTTGAGAACAATCTTATGACCTTAAAAAATATATATTTCATTCTCGTAATATTCATTCCGATACGCGCCCAATAAATTACATTCCATTTAATTATAAATTAAATTAATTGGAATTTGAAATAATAAAACTCAGGATTGACTCAGTTACTATTAACCGATTGAAATTTCGCTCTTGTCCGTTATTATATAAGTTTATAAGTAACATTGCATTATTGTTTATTTATTTTGAAAGGATTTTTTTTTCCCACAAATATTAAATCATAATTAATGGCGCGATTTTTCCTGAAAAAAATATATTTCAGTTATATAGAAATTATTAAATGTTTAAGGTAAGAAAAGGTTTTTTTAAAAAAATAAAGAAAGGAATTCAAAAGACATTCTCTAGACATTCTCATGACCAATCATTTAGCATTCTCTTTATTATTATAAAAAAAAAAGAAAAAAATCTTACAAGATTTTCAACGAAAAAAAAATTTTTAATGGCTTAGTTTTCATTAGTTTCATTAAAATATATTTGTAAATAAATTTGTAATTTCTTTATATTTAATTATCGAATAAGAATAATTTAAAAGAGAACGTGTATTGAAAACAATAGAAAAAAAAACAAAGAATTATTTGTTCAGAAAAAAAAAAAAAAAAATTTTTTTGTTTTTTTTTTTTCATTCAAAGATCTAGTGAAACATTTGTTGTTATTTTCATGCATATTAATTGCATAATTTTTAAAGAATTTTTTTTTTAAAAAAATTTATTTTAAATAATTATTAATTTTGTATAATGTTATTATAATGTATGTAATAATTATGCATAACTTACAATACTTACAATACTTAAAATAATATCATCGTAAAATTAGATTGATTTGATAAAAGATTAGATTCTTTTGATTCTTTTGATAATTTTATTTCTTTTATAGTAAAAAAGGGGAGAATGATGATAAATAAACTTTTTGTATCATTTAATGACCTTTTTCTCCCCCACGCCCCACATAAACAAATTACTAAATTTGTAAGAAACCTAAAAAGCTGATCTAACTATTTTATATATTTATTTAACTTGTTTCTTGCCAAGAATTCTAATTTCCTAAAAACGATTTCATTTACCTGCCAAGAAATTCTAAACTCATCATATTGGTACTCTAAGAACATGCATTCTAATTTCCATTTTCCAACGGTATTCGAATTCCAGATATTTGTAACATAAAAAATATTATATTAGTATGATTGTATTACATTTTCCTAAAAAATTTTATTAAAAAAAAAAAAAAAAAAAAATTACGTACATTATGCATATCTAAAATTCCTAAAAATTTTGCTAGAAAAAAAACTTTGTCCATAATAATTACGTACATGTACTTTATGCATATCCGGATTCCGCGCTTCAACTGTTTCAACTTGAAGTATTTTTCANAAAAAAAAAAAAAAAAAACAATTACGTACATTATGCATATCTAAAATTCCTAAAAATTTTGCTAGAAAAAAAACTTTGTCCATAATAATTACGTACATGTACTTTATGCATATCCGGATTCCGCGCTTCAACTGTTTCAACTTGAAGTATTTTTCAAATTTTGAAATTTCTAAATAGTTCTAACTGTCGTAAATTACTCCATCACTTTCATAATTTATCAATAAATAATTTTTTACCGCCTCTCTAATTATAGGAATAAATGTTTGTTAAATATGTAAAATTATATTCAAAATTATAATGAATCATTTACAACATTTTCTTTGCTACTAGACTATCATGAAAACTATTAGAACTATTAGAAATTTTTAAAAGACCTTTCTTGGGATAAAAAAAATCTATAAAAAAAAGTTCCACTTATTACATATTCCGCCAGACGATGAAATGTATCGAATTGCCTTACGCAATAATTTGATATTACTTCAATTAATTTTCTATAAGGATGAATTTTTTTTACTACAGTAGTAAAAATCTATTCTTTAATTTATAAATATAGTTTACATAACAAAAGCATCATCTCGCACTATCTCGCACTTTAATTAGATTAAAGTAACTCATGCGTTCAGTTCATCAAAATAATCGTTTGTAGAGAGATATTTCTTTAGCGGTGCTCTTTTCTGAGACCACATACTTATGAACAATTTCCATTAGGTTCGTCTCAATCGCATATTAAAGAGGGGATGAGCACTTATAGAAAGCAAGTTATTTATAAAAAACTATATAACTTTGAAACTGAACCAGAATGTACACTTATGAAGGGTGTACGTATTGTGTGCACTTAGAGAATGTACACTCACTGATGGTATATAAAAATATCGACCTTATGAGGATCAACAATCTTAATTAGCTGGCCTAAATTAAAGGCTTTTATTAATTCTGGCCTGAATTATGTATTCACTTTTCTTCATATGTATGTCAATTTTTTACACTAAGAAATATTTGGTTTAGAATGACATTAAACCGGTGAGCATGTCCCTTGATTATCAAACATAATAATTCGTGATCCGTGAGAAGTTTATTTATAATTTCGGTGTATTTATGTTTTTTATTAATAATTTGCATTACGCCGGAAAATGTGTAAGTTTTTTATTATTAATTGGGAATCTGGCATTACGCCGGAAATATGCAATCAATAACTTGGCTTCTATTAATCTTAAATGATGCTTCTTGATGAGACAAATTCAACAAACTAAATTTCCATCTTTTTTACTCACTAAATAACGAGTTATCTTTAAAAATGTCAAATTTTTAAATTTTCATTTTTTCCAAATTCAAAATTTTCAGCTCTTAGGAAAATAGTTTTAATATTTAAAAAATTTACCGGACTTTTAACATATATTTTTTATGCCTATAATATTAGTTTTTACATTATATTTTAACAATTGGTACTTGGTAAAACTCCAGATCATCCATATATTGATGAATTTTTGCAGTCGACTCATGGATCACGAATTAATTAATTTTTAAGTTAATCCATAATTTCGTTAATAAAGAACGTATGGCTCAAGCACTAGTTAATGAAGAGATTAGGAAACAAATTTCTGATAAGGAAGACAATATCTATAGCCCAGAAAGTAAGTCTACGATAATGAAATCGGCGAAGATAAAATCTTTTTCTGCAAAACAAATTTCAGAATTAAAGTGGTGATATTGATTATCTTGTCTAAGCTATATATTAGAATGTAACAAATCGCATTAATGGGGATTGGACAAATTATGCAACAAATCACTGGGGTATTGGAAAAACTGAAAATTTGTCCCAATCATTTTAGCTGTAATGTAAACCCATGGTAGGATAAAAAATGGTTAAAAGTTTTTTTTTAATTCAAAATAAATACTAAATAATTCATTAAAATATAGGCTGATCTTAAAACTTATTAAATGATGAATTAAAAGAATAAAAATGAATATTTACAAGAGAAAAATGATAGAATAAAAGGACAAAAAAAAAAAGAATACCAAACAACTCACAACGAAAAAAAAAAACGAAAGTAATGAAAAGTTATATCATCCAATTAAAATATATCTCTTTAATCATATATTATGAAAAAAAAAAATATGGTTATGGAAGAATGCATATTGCATAGTGGTATTTGATTGTTTAAAAGAGTGTATAAATTAATATGTCAAATAATTCATATCATAATGTCACGATAAATATAAGCTCGAAATTAGTAATGTAAAATAAAAGGAATACTATATTAAAGTAAAAAAAAAAAATTCGAAAATATGAAATAAGCTCCATTTTTTTAATGACCCGCATCTTTTGCATATTAGAGAATTGAAAGTCATTACTTCCCTAATAAACAAATATATATAATAGATAAATTTTCATATTTCAAACCTTTCACTTCAACAAATTCCTTTATGATGATCGAATGTTTTTTTTTTACGCGCTTCTTTCTCGTAGGAGTCGTGTTTTACGTTCTTTTTTCTTCCTTAGTCGTCCAAGTTGACATCTTCCAATGACTTCATAAACATCTTTTTGCCAACTTGTTGTTTAAGCTCATCGTTTTCCTTTCGTAGTAATTGATTCTCCTTCGTGATTTGTTTGTATTGAGTCTTTTTTTAATTCCCAAACATCCAAAAAAGTGAAATGCAGCAAATGTCAATGAAAAATGAAAAAGAGTACCCACATATAAACTTCTTATGTGATCTTTAATAGAAAGCACCCGATTTACCTTTAAATCCTCATTTTCCTCCTCCAGTAACGTAAGCTCAGTCTGCAAACTCATCCTTCGTTGTGTGATCTCCAGGATCTGTTTTGTGAGCTCATGCCTATCATCTACTTTTTTTGACTGATAAAAAAAAAGGGTGAAAAATAGTTTAATCAAATTTCATAATTAAAAATTAAAACTTAAATATTTATTTACGTACTTTATCGGTAAAGAGTAATTCCAATGATGATCGACTTTCATTAGAAGAACTTGTTGACATTCTTCGATCAGAATCTGATTTTTCAGAAATTTCAATAGTTAATCTTGTGATCTCTAGATTTGCAAGACTAAGTGCATCTTCAAGCTGAGCAACTCTTTCTAAAAAGCGAGCACGTTCTTCAGCAAATTCTTCTGCTAGCGTTTCACGTTCACGATTTGTTTGTTCTGCCAACTATAAAAATAAAATAAAATTTAAATTTTTTTTTTTAACAATATTAAAAAAAAATCATCAGTTTTTTACCTTTGTTTGCCATTCCTTGAATTCTTCTTCCTTAGATACTAATTGATCTGCCATCCCCTGCATTTGGTCTGAGATCAAAAATTATAGTTTGAGTAACTAGGACAATAGAATTATGAAACAAGTTCATTTATGAAACACGTTACCCCGAAGTGATTTATTTTCATCTTCAATATCATTAAACCTTGTTTTTTCTTGAGCAATTTCGTTATTCAAAAGATCAAGTTTCGCATAAGCTGATCTGAGAGCTTTACTCTAATTGATATACAAGAGAAAAGTTAATTAAGGGTTAAGAATCGAAAGATACCAAAATAGTTCTAGTTAAAACGCAGAAATAAATCTCAAAGTTACACAACGTAGCGTAACATTGGTCAACAGTTATGCGAGAACGGAGGGAAAATATTATATTCTTTTTACGATAATCCTAGATAAAACAATCGGTTCTTTTTCATATCAACTCACCTTATCTTTAAAAGCCTTATAAAGCTTTGTAATATATTCTTTAAGTCTTTTTGGTTCATCCTTTTTTAAAAAGCGAATAAATTTTTAGAAATTAATGTAAAATAAAAAAAAAAAAGTTAAAAAATTATGATAAATAAAAAAAAAATTATTTCTTTTCTTTTTTTTGTTACATACTTCAGTACCAATTACAGCTGCATAGTCAGCAAAATCTTCTTCACGCTTAGTAGGAGCGTTTGTAGTATTTCTTCTGAATAGACCTCCAGTTCGCATTTTTGAAAATAAGACAAAAATTTAATATGGAGAATGATAATAATAATAGGTTTTGCTAAAATGAGAAAAAAAAGAGATTGTTAATTTGAGATGTTGAATAAGTTAACAAAATATACAAAGATATCGGAGTTTTCGGTATTACTTTCTTATTTCGTTAAGATTTGTTTATAACACAAAAAAAGTCACTTGCCCAAAGACGGTTTTATTTAAAAAGGTTCGTTAAAAAAAAATTCGGTACAAACAAAAAAAAAAAAGGAAAGAATAGGGAAAAAAAAATCGATTTTTCTGTTCAAAAAAAGAAAAAGAGGATAGCCAATTTTAATCAAGATTTTTTTCGAATATAAATAAGAACGAAATAAAATTCGAAAAGAAAACAGAAAACGTAAAAAGTTAAATTTTAATAAAAAAGGACAAAAATTGAATGAAAAAATCGAAAAAAAATAAAAAAAAATTATGAAAATGGAAATTTAGTATCAAACTAATTTTCAGAATGATTTTTTTTTAAACGTTGAGAAGAAAAGAAGTTGAAAAGATTGGTGATAACAACCCCTAGTCTTTTTATGTTTGTTACATAAATATATTTTTTTGGTTAACTTAATAAAGTAATGAATCTAATGCTAATTAGTGTGTAATGTAAAAGATAATATTTACATAGCCGCAGAAATTAAAAGAAACTCCCTTGTCTTAAAAATTATATATATATTTTTTTTTTAACAAAAACTCCTTTGCATCAACCCCTATCTCATTTTCTTCAATAGATTCTTTTTTTTGTTAAGATCTTCTTTTTTTGAAATTTCTTGTAACATTTTTTCTTTATTAGACCCTTGTAAATCGGAATAGATTTACAATTAATTACTTTTAAAAATGATTAACCGCAGTTCCTCTACACGGTTTTTTTTACGCGTTCAACTCAAAAAACAATAGGAAAGAAAAAAGCTTTTTGAAAAGGACTCTTCAGCCATGGCTTGGTTCTTTTGAAAGAAATTTTGAATCGTAAGATTTTAATAATATCATATCATATAAAAAAAAAACAAACATTTCATATAAAGTTAAATTCTTGTGCGACATACATGTTCTCCTTTTGGTTGACAGTGCGTTTCTCCCTTCTATAGTATTTTCATATTACAGTATTACGTTAATTACGTTAATTACGTTAATTATACGCGACAATATCATCATATATCCCATATGCCATATGGTGATACAACTATACTAATAAATCTTTATTTCTAAAAATAATATTAAGGTGATTTTGAATAATGGCTTTGAAATTTTTTTTGTTTAAATTTAAATTACCAAAATTACACAACAAAGCATCTTTTTTATTGGTACTTACATAAAATTATAATACTTTTAATAGTTTGTATAATACATACATATAATACATATTACATATGATGTAAATTATAAATTTACTAATCCAAATATGTTGGAGATCATTTTATTTTTAGTTTATTACAAAAGGCGTTCGCATGACTAAATTATGACTTAGCTTTTACTAAAATTTAGATTGTAAACTTGTTTTTTTTTATTCCCCTCCCACTTCCCGATTCAGTTTAAAGTATTGTTTCATCGGGTCAATGCGAAATCAATCATATGAAATCAAATACGAAATTATTATTTTTAGTTTGTTTATGACATGATACATCCCGGTTTTTTTCAATAATGTCATATTCTTTTACTTACAAAGACTAAGTTTATACTTTAACTGATTCATGCATTGTCAAGCGATTTTTTGCCATTAGCGGCTCGATTGGGAGTAAATGGTATGAAATCTTATATACTGCGCTATATATAATCTAGTCCCTTATTATCAACTTTCTTTTTTCAACAATAAATATAATGTCAAAAGTTTAGTTCCATATTTCTCTAATTATGAAATATAATACATACTGTGGTTTTTTATTTTATTTCTGGTTGAATTTTAACTGGAATGATTTTGATTATGCTTGGATTGTAAATTTTTAAGAAAAGCTCAAAAAAAATCCTTTAAAAATTTTGCAATCTTAGATGTATTTCTTATTTTGCAAAAAAGGGTAACTTCTAGTTATACCTATCACTCATTTTGTTATAAAAGAGTTATTAGATTTGGCAGCTTAATATTCATTTCAAGTCTTTAATTCAGGTATCTAATCTTTATTATTAATAAAGAATTATTAGTTTTGGAAGAAAAATTATAATATCTTTTTTTTCTTTAAAAATATAAATATCATAGGATTTTAATTAAAATGTTTTTACTTTTTACTTATAAAATATATATATTTTTAAAATAAATTAAAAAAGAAATATACTTACAATTTTTATAATTCCTTTAATTTCACAAACTTTTACAATATGCCTAAAGGTTATTTTACAATAAGTGAATTTGATTAAAATAAATGCATTATATAAACTGCAAATTTATAAGTAAACAATAACAAGAGAATTTCAAAGCATTAAATAAACTTGTTATATAACCAATATTTATTATATATAATATCTTTAAAAAATAAAATCAATAATAATTATAAAGTATTAATTAATATTGATTTAATAAAAAAAGTCATCTGGATTTTTATCATAAACTGTAAATTAATAAAATTGGTATTAATTAAATTTGTTATACTATGATAAAGAAAATTTTATATTTATTACTTTTAAAAAAAATTTGAAAAAACTTTTTTTTTTAAGAAAAAAAAGATGATTTATATATATGTTTTTTTTTTAAAAAAAAAAATTTTTACAAATATATTAAATATTAATACAAATGTTTAATTTATTATTATAATAAATATTATTAGTTTTAAAAAAAATTGATTATATATCTTTCTTTTCTTTATATATATATATTTCAATTAAAATATTTTACTTATAAACTAATTAAAAATTAAATAGAATAATTAATAGTTATTTTAAAAAATATATTAATTAAATACATATAACCATATATTATTTATATTAATTATAATTATTTATAATTAGATTGTTAAAATTTAAAATTTTAAATAAATAGCTATATAAATATAAAATTAAATAAGTGCTAATCTCAAATTTATTAATATTTTATATATTTTATTTTTGAATAAATTAGTTATAATAGCATTTCAATTAAAGATTAAAGATAATTAATTGATCAGTTATTTACTATAGTTTATAGTTAAAATTTTCTTTTACAACTCTAATAAAAAATTATTATATTAACCTTTTAAATAAATATTAAAAATATTATTTGTCTAATTTACTATCACTGGTAAAAAAATGATTTATCCTACACATATCTTACACATATTGGGTATTCAAAATGTAGAAAATCATACACAAATAATACACATATCATACACATATCGGGTACTAATATATATATCATACATATATCAGGTACCTGATAGGTATACTATATATATAAGTACCCGATATGTGTATAATATGTGTATTATTTGTGTATGATTTTCTACATTTTGAGTACCCGATATATGTAAGATATGTGTAGGATATGTGTAGGATAGACCATTTTTTTACCAGTGTATAAAATTAAAATATTATTAGTTATTTAATTTTTACTTGGTTTATTAAAAACTGTTAAACTAACTTTATTTTTTTTTTACTTATTTTAATAATCAAAAATTTTAAAAAAGTAAAATTATTTTAAAATAACAGATAATTACAATTATATTAAATATTTTACTAGTAAATTTTATTATAAATTATAAATTAATTTTTTTTTTATTATTATTATTATACTCAAAAAATCAGTAATATTCAATTATAAATTATGATTTTTTTTTTTAATATTATATTTAAAAAAAGCAGTAATCTTTATTTAAAGAAGAATTTATAAAACTACATCTTAAATAAAATAAAATCATATTCTACCCATTTACAGATATATAAAGAGCAATCAGAATTATCTGACCACTCACTTTTCAAGTTGAAAAAATTTACATATATATAATATAGCAATAATAAAAATTTAAATTAAATACATTTATTATATTTTTGTTTAACTTTCTAATTCTATAAGATATACTATTGATAGATTTTTTATAATATTCTGGAAGAATATCTTTCAAGTATTAATATATCTTTAATAAAGTATATTTATTAGAAATTTAATAAAAATATGCAAGTATAATGTTGAAAAAGTATTATACTATAATATTGTATATTAAATATTAATTACAGGTATAATACTAGTTAAATAAAGAAATTTTGGGTTATCAAATTTTAGATAAGTACTAAGATAAATTAGAAATTGATATTTGCTTGAAATTTGATAAGTTATATCAGGTTATTATCATATAATTGATTGTTGTTTATATATCAAATGATATTTAGCTTATAAAATCCAATATTTATAAAGAATAATCAAGTAAGTTTTAAGTTTTTTTATAAGATTACCTGATAGATTTCTGTTATTTATACTTTTTAAAATTAAGCATCACATAATTTTAAGAAAAATTCTTAGAAATTTTTCTTAATACTATTAAATTTAAAGTTTAATTAACAATAATTAAAATTATTATAATATATTTTTGGAGATTACTGATTCTTAGTCTATTTTTCACTAGCCAAATTTAAACTTTATTAATAGTTTAACTAAAGTAGTTTTAGAATTTTTTTTTCTTTATAGTAAAATTTTGAAGTTAAATTTTAAAACAAAATTTTTTTAATTTTGAAAATATCAATATTTGGAATATTACAAATTATCTCTAATATATATTTTGCGGTTTCAGTTCTAATAATAATAAAATTATAGTTATGAATATTCTCTAATCAAATAAAGGTTATAAATTTCAGCATTACCTTTTATTTTCATTTTTAAAGTAGACAATTGAAACTTCTTTAAAAAATGAATTTCTTTTAACAAAATAACTATTAATATTTTATTTTTTTCTTTTGTAAATGGTCAGAAATTATGTATATATATATAAGAAATACTAATATTTTTAAAATAATATTTTTATAGATTTTAGATGTCATTTCAAAATAACAAGTTAAAAAAATTTTTTAATTTAAATAAAAGGTATATAGATATATATATATTAAACTTTTATTTTCTTTTATTTATAAGTTCTAAACTTATTAGATCACTCTTGATCCAGTAAGAGGTATGCCAGAAATCAGCTGATTTCTTTTAATTAGTAGCTTAACTCCACCCATCTGATTGAAATCTGATTGGCTAAAAAAATTATTATTATTAAATATTTTATATATAATAATTAGTATTATATAATTATCTTAATTCTAGTAATTCAATTTAAATAAACTTTTTTTTTATTTTGTAAATCTAGATTTTTAAGCTAAATAAGAGTTATAAAATATATTAAAATTGGATTACTAAAAGTCAAGATAATTGCATTATAATAATTATTAATATAATATAAATACTATTATCTTGGCTTCTAGTAATTCAATTTGAACAAACTTTTTTTTGTTTTATAAAACTAAATTTGTAAAATTAAATAGAAGCTATAAATTTAAAATAATTTTATTAAAATTGGATCACTAGAAGTTAAGATAATTGCATTATAGTAATTATATATAAAAATAATATTTATATTTAGATATAACCTTCTCAGTATAACCAACAAAAAATCTCAGATATGTGATATAAAATGTAGCATATTTTGATTGGTTAATCTTGTGTAATATTTAACTTTAAAAAAAGTAAAAATATTCACTAAAAAATTCAAAAACTTTTGATATTTAAGTAATTTGTAAAAAGTCAATAGAAATAAATTTTTTAAATTTTAAATAATTTTATTAGATTTTATTAAATAATACTGTAAACAATACAGAAAAATTTTTACTTTATGTATTTATGAGATAAAAAATTTTTTTTTTTCTTTGTTTTTAAAATTCTTTGTATAACTTATAAAATAATATATATCTAACTAAAAATATATAAGTTTGTGATATTTATATAAAAAACATCAAAATATATAAAATTAATATATATAAATTACTTTAATACTTATTAAAATAANAAATATATAAGTTTGTGATATTTATATAAAAAACATCAAAATATATAAAATTAATATATATAAATTACTTTAATACTTATTAAAATAAACTTTAAAAATTTCAAAGAAATATAAATTATTAATATTTATTGTTTATAATATATATAATAAAAATAATAAAAAGAAATAAATAAAAAAAAATAGTATTTGTATAATATAAGTTTCTAAGGTTTTCCAAAAAATAAAATGTATAAAGAAATAGGGAAATAGGTAAACAGGCAAATTAATATTTAACATAAGAAAAAAAATATTTATTTATATTGCATCAAATGTAACTATATTATGAATTATATGCCTGAGTTTTTTTTTGTTGATTATACTGAAAAAGATTATCACTTACACAAAAGTCATATTATCAAAAATTTTTTGGTGGTATTCTTGGAGAATTGCAAGTTTCTATAAATCATGAGATAATCAGCAAGAATAGTTAATTTATTTGATAAACAGTCAATTATATAGCATTTATAAGAAAATTTTGGATAGACTTATCTACTAATTATGCAGTATCAGTATCAATTAAAAAATCTGGATATGCCTGTCTATTAATTATGCAGTGTCAGTATCAATCAAAAAATATTATAATATATAATGATTAAACTTTATTATATATATTGTCAGAACACTATTTTTTGAGATCTGTACAAAATTCTGACAGTCCAAAATCCCAAATGGTACGAAATTCTAACTTATGCAGAATTATGCAGAGTCACATGATATGTTTGACTAGCATTAGAGTTCGGGATTTCGTACCTGTCAGAATTTCGTACCAGACCCATTTTTTTACATTATAACAGATAATGCCAGATATATTTTGCAGTATATTAAATTATTCTGAAGCACTTTAGCAATTACGTATTTAATGTTATTTTTAGATAAACCTGTTAATATAGTTATTAATGAAAAAGTTTTAACTCTTCCTATCATAATCCTACTATCCATATTAATGTTACTGGAAAAGACTATAAATCTTTTGAGTTCTTTTAATTTTTTTTTGAAAAGTTTTTTCTGAAATGTTAGGAAGTTGTTTCTGCACATTATCATTAACTAAAAACTAAAATGCCAAATCTTTATGATTCAATAATCTATAATGATCATACCTTTTCTTTATTGCTTTCCTAAAATCAAAGTAATAGTAAAGAACATATTGCGTTATCTTTTTTAGTTGGTCTTCACTAATAACAATTTTTACAGGTTGAAAAGTAAAAAATCAGGTATCAATCAGTCACTAATTAGGCAGTTTACTAACTTTTAATCCAATAATCAAAAAAGGGTAAAATATAGCTTATTGGAATCGTCTCAATAAGATGAATTTAATGGTAGTAAAATTGCATTTCTAGAATTAATAGTTAATAAAAAATTAAATAAAATATAAATGATATATTTTTATTTTTATATGTTACTTAATTTCTCAACATGTATTGACCCTAAAAATGTAATTTTACTACCATTAAATTCAGCTTATTAAGACGATTTCAATGAGCTATATTTTATCTCTTTCTGATATTTATTCTATAGATTGAGAAAGATATTTGAGTCATTGTTTGATTCAGAGGTAGGTTCAGTTTGCAAAATTTCTTCATTTTTAAAATCGATAATAGTCAACTCTTTAATCAGTCTTTGCAATGTAGAGGATTAATTTCGATTAATTGGTTTCTTAGTTTTCTTTATCTTTTTACTAGAAGTAGATATAAAGCTGAAAGGCATTTTATATGATTCATTACTATCTTCCCTAGTACATTTTTACTAGTTTGTAAATTCTTTTATAAGCATTTTATTATTGTTATCTACGTTCTTAGGAGCTGTTTGATTTTGCAATCCTTTTAAAAGATTTTAAGAGAGAAAAGTTTTGATATTTTTATTATACTTCTTCACTAATTAATTACATCGTATTTCAGCAAACAGACTAATTCACTATTTATTATAAAATTATTATGAATTAATTACATTTGTCAAAATACATTATGTCTGTCAAAATAAATTTAATTAGTATTTTATCATTTTGATGAAAAGTATAATTTTTATTACAACTATTATAAGAATAACTCGACTCATCATCTACCAAATACTTTTTAAGACACTTTTGGTGAAAAATGTGTCTAGTACAGAAACCTAAAGTAAATTCTTTGATTATGGTAAGTTTAAGTGTATAATATCTTTTCCACATAATAGGCACAGATCTATTTTTGAAATATTAGTATTTTCACTAGGAGAAGAAAAAGCATTAACTTTACTAACAAAATATTGCAAGAGCTTCAATATGTGATTTATCTATATTGCCTATTTAATCAGCTAGAAAATAAGGTATTAGAACAGTTATGAGAAGAAAAAATGATTTCTTTTTATAACACTTGTAAATATTATAGAAGAAAATATTTTCCAGATCTTTACTAGCAATTACACATTGCATTTCGTTATTCATTAATCCTTTGCAAATTAATAAAAGTAATGAAGGATTAGCATACATATCTTCAACTTCATATGTGAAATATTGATTGCTGAAAAAAATATCTATACCTGAATATTGTTTTGTTAACATGATAGTAATATGCCTGAAGATATGATGCAAAAATAAATGCAAATCAAGTTGAAAAAAAATCATATAAATCATACGTTACATAGTAGTAAGAGTTTTTTAATATTATACTGCGCAATTTAGGTGATGTGATCTTGCTTTAAGTTTCAATATATATGTAGTAATATAGCATTAGCTAAAAGTAAGATTAGCCAAATTATTATTATATTACTTTACATATATAAAAATACATCAAAAATTGACTCCAAACCTCTTTAACATATATGCAAATATTACACTTTATTCTGTGTCTGAAATTCATACTTTTTGCTTCTTACATTTTAAAATTGAGAAAATATATAATTATATTATTGAATTATTTAACAGTGAACACTTTCAAGATGTTTTATGAGTTCATAAATATTATTGAAAGCATTATTACAATAAGGACAATTGGCTTGAACTTGAGAAAGTCTTGAAGGTGCTGGTAGTATCTAATTAATAAATCCATAAATATATTAATAATAGAGTTTATAGTATAAAAATAAAGAAATAAAGAAACAAGAAATAGCAACATACTGGATCAATAATTCTATTAATTAAAGATATATCCAATACAAAACCTGGCAAAATATTTTCACCGCTAATATCTTTCCATCCAGGATTACTACATCTTCTACCTTTCCTATATATGTAAATTTGCTTATGTTGAGGATCGATTAGCCAGCCAAGTTGGACTACCATACTTTGTGTTATGAGTTTTTCTTTAAATCTTTTATCAACTTCTCTGAATTTTGGATTATCTGTATCTACTCCGATATCAGCAACTTCAACAAGAAATATAGGGGTGAATAAAGCACTCTGGAAGGACCAAGCCTGTTCATTAGTCAGCTGAAGGACTATATATTGGAATATAAAAGTAATGTCTGATATCCTAATTATTGTTATATGATTAATAATAAAATTGAATTTACCCTGTGATATAGTAACTTCAACACCTTGTCGAGTTTGTATGTTCCAATTACGAAGTTGAGCAGCAATTTCTGCAACCACTTGTTCTTTACAGTACGGTATTTGTAACATGGGTATTAATTTTCTGTTTTTGTCAAGCTCAAATAGGTTAACAGGATGTCCATTAATTTTCAAAATATTATTTTTCAGCTGGTTGTTGATATACTCAAACTCTTTAGAAGTATAGAAACATTCAAGGTTTAAATTATCAAGATCTATTTCAGTATTTCTTGATTATAAACTTTAGGTGTTTCAGCCGTATTTTGTAAGTGATGTTTTATAAGTAGAGAATTTAAGGATAAAAAAAAATTTCTCATGTTAAATACAGCTCCATCATTTTATTGATTGATTCTATTGATCAAATTGTTTTTCTATCTGCCCAAAAACAGAAAATAGATCAAGAATATTTTACCTTTAATGAACTTTATTTTTTGGAGATTCTTCTATTTTTTAATACTTTTTAAACTTGAAAAAAAGTAACAGGAGTTGAAATTTATTGGAAAAGTAAGAAGAAAAGAAATATAAAAATTTTTTTTCTGTCATACCTGAACGATTGGATCATTTCAATTGAATTTCACATGACTTAGTATTAGTTATAAAATCTTATATAAATTAATGTTTTGATTTATATCAAAAGGGTATGTAGATGGACGATACTGTCACAAGAAATTAATTGTTAGATGAAAATTACATTTTACAATACTGCATGTAAAAAAAGTGCTAAAATTTAAGATCATGACCTGTAGTCAATATTCTGATATTACTACTTTTTTATATAACACTTTATTAATAAGTGATGAGTTAACATAAGTTAATTTATACTTGATTTATGTTAATTTTCTTTCATATTTTTTTTTATTTTCTGTTAAAACAATTAAGAAAATTCTAGTAGGTCAATATTTTAAATTTTAAAAAAATAAATAATTTTAAGTTCATATAAAGAAATATAAAATTTAATTTTCTTGTTTTTTAAAAAAAATCCTACAATCATTAATATTATTAATTATGAAATTCTCTTCTGTAGGCCATAATCCCATTATAATTGGCTATTTTTACATTGATTAGTCAAATACTGGTCAATTATATGACCACTTATATGACCTAAAAAACAATCAGTCTTGACAGTACAGTTTGAATGAGTTGATGGTAGAATACTTTTCAGCTTTTGCACAATCCTGTTGATTCTACAAATGCAAAGACTTATTTATAAAAAAAAATAATAAATTATTAATTTATAATTTCTTCATGAGACCAATATTACTCAAGTCTATTTAGCAATAAAGATACTTTCTTATCAGCAAGATGGAACTGTAATAATATTGTCTTAAATCTGGTACTAAATGTTCCAAACTCTTCACCAAATATACCACCTATGATAGCAATTGCTAATTTGATGCCAAGTATTACAATTTCTTTTGGATTGGCACCAGTACACCACTTAGTTTTCAACTAGCAGATTTTGTTAACAGAGGTTCATTAGCTTCCTTGGTGATATTAACAGTATTCCTTGTATAGCAGCTGGTATGCAAGACTACCAGATAACTATCCCTGCAAATTTATTTTTTATACCTGGAGGTGTTTCTACTTTTGGAGTACCAAATAATTTCAACATTGATTTATGGGCTGGCTATATGGCAACAAGCTTTGTATTATTCAGTGTGTATTGCTTTCATGCTCTTCTGATATATTATTATCAGTATTTACTAATTTTTTTACATTTTTAGTAATAATATCTAATGCTATTCCTGAAAGACAGCTCAAACATCCACTTCCTTTTGAAAAATTCAAGATCAAAGTTTATTTACCAGAAAAGTTATAGCTCAAATATCACTTTCAGTACTTTTAATAATTTAGTATTGAACTACAATAATGATAAATAAGGAGGTTGTAAAGAATTTGAAGATATCATAATTTTACATATACATTTCCTTCCTATTGTATTTGCTGATGCTTGAAAAAGCATATTTTTCAAAAAGTTAATTGTAGCCATGATTAGTGCAACAAAATGAAAATTTTCTGATTATCAAAAATTACATAGCAAATAATCCTCACTCAAAATTTATACTGCATGGCTTTTGGTATTTATCAAGTAAAGCATACTAAAATTTCATCAAATGTAGCCTTCGCATAACGTGTCCTATAAAAATTCTAATTAAACGCACTGGCCACTTCTATTTCTTTAACGAATTTCCGGTTAGCGCAGTATATCAGTGAACACGAGAATTTGCCAATTAATTTTCGTTCAGATCTGATCTCTAATAATTAATAAAGTACGTTTTGGATTTGGATACATAACTTTAAGTAATTTATTAAAAAGAGTAGAAACCAAATTTAGTGAATAATCCAAAAAAAATAAATAAATAAATTAGATAAATAATAATCTCTCTATCTATCCTATCTATTGTAATAATATTTTAGCCGGAATCACTTTTTTAATAAAGAAAGTCCAGTCATCTCTTTTGGAGTTTCCAAACCTATAACATCTAAAATAGTAGGGGCAACATCACAGAGTGCACCTTTAGTCGATTCCGCAAATGAATATTTATTTGATGCAAGTATGAAAGGAACTGTAAAAAGTAAATCTCGTTAATTATAATAATAAGAAAAAAAAAAAATAACACGCTTTATATTTTTTATTACCAGGATTGCAGGTATGAGCAGTATGAGGGTTTCCTTCTTCATCCTGCATTTGTTCAGCATTTCCATGATCAGAAGTAATGAATAAAATATATCCATTTGCTTTACATGCTTCATAAATTATTCCGATAGCTTTATCTGTAACTTCTATGGCTTTGGTAGCAGCATCATATTTTCCTGTATGTCCAACCATATCAGGATTAGCAAAGTTATTCATTACAAACGGAAATTTGCCACTTCTTATTTCCTCAGCCACTTTTTCTGCTACTTCAATAGCAGACATTTCTGGCTTAAGATCATATGTGGCTACTTTTGGGGAATCAATCAAATCACGAACTTCAAGATCAAATGGTTCTTCTACACCTCCATTGAAAAAGAATGTAACGTGTGCAAACTTTTCCGTTTCTAAATAAGTAAAATAGAAAGTAAGAATATATTTTTAAAATATTAAGTTTGTGATTTATTTACCTGCGACATGACATTGAGAAATCTTATGTTTTGCGAACCATTCAGATAAAACGTTTTCCATTGATTGTGGAGGAAAAGCTAAAGGGAATGGAAATTCAGACTTGTATCTTGTCATACATGTAATATGCTAAGGTAAAGATTATTGAATTGTTAATAGATTGGTATGCTTTTAATATTTATCATATGGAGGAATATCTTACTAAGTTTTCGGGAATTTTGGCTTCAAATGGAGGTGGTGGAACACCAAATGTTTGAACGATTTGACGCATTCGATCAGCACGAAAATCGAAAAAGAAGAGAGTATCATTTTCTATTTATAATTAAACGTAAAACATAGGTTACAGCATCAAAATTAGACTAAGAATCAAAAAACCTTAACCAGAATAATAAAGTAAGAAGTGTTATAGTTGAAACATACCTTTAATTATACCCTCCTCATCTACTATGATAGGTTTCAAGAATTCATCCGTTTCATCTTTTGAAAAACGTTCACGGATTGTCTAATAAATATAGGATTGTTATAAAAATTGACGACTATTTTAAATAGAATAGATCATGCTTACACTTAGAGGATCTTCGGATTTTTCACCGACACCTTTCGTTAAAGCTTCAAAAGCAATCTTGATTCTTTCCCATCTTTTGTCTCTATCCATAGCATAATATCTTCCAATAATAGTAGCTATTTTTCCGTAATTAAGATCATCTATGGCTTTCTGGAGTTGTTCAAGATATTTATCCGAAGAACGAGGATTGGTATCGCGACCATCACCAAAGAAATGTACATATGCTTTTGGAATACCATGATTCTTTGCAGTTTCCAAAAGATGAATTAGGTGATTGATATGGCTGTGCACTCCTCCATCTGAAACCTAATTTACGAGAAAAGTCAGATTAACTGAAGAATTGAGAATATCACTATTTCACGGTAATTTCATCTTACCAATCCAAGGAAATGTATTCTTCCATTAGTCTCCTTAGCTCGGTCGAAACATTTTACGATATTATCAACCTCGTTGAATTTCTTATTCTTTACGGCCAAGTCAATTCTTACAATATCCTGTAATACATAAAAAATTCAAACACGTTAATTGCAACTTATTTAATATAGGCATGAGTATAGTAATATAATATACTTGATATACAACGCGCCCGGCACCAATATTCAAATGACCAACTTCAGAATTACCCATAAGTCCCTCAGGCAAACCAACTGCGAGACCATGAGCTTCTAAAGTAGTATATGGATATTCTCTTTTGAGCTTATCCATAACTGGTGTTTCAGCATTACGAATTGCATCTCCAGTAGAGTCTTCTTTAAGAGAAATACCCCAGCCATCAAGACAAATAAGACAAGCTTTTTCTTTTAAAGTCATTATGAAAAGAATTAACAGAATTTTTTTTTTTTAAAAAAAAAAAGCTTACTTTGATCGTGGTTTTTTTAATTCACGCTTTGATCGAATTATGATGTAGTTAGCCGCAAAACTGATAACCTGATTGCCGATCGTTCTTAGATAAAGTTCTTTTGATATTGATAGATCACCTAAACTACTCAACTTAATTTGATTGTCAAAAAAAAATCGGTAACTTTAGATAGTGTCATCTATGAATTGTCACGTGATACAGCAAATAAATTTCACGGGATAGAAAAAAATTTTTCCTTTCAAAGATGGGTGGTACGAAGATAAACGTTTCAAAAAAGTTCTTTAATAAACTTTATTTTAGGTGCGTTTCTTTCCTTAAAATATTCTTTGAGCATTATTTTGAGAAAGTATTCTTAAATTATCATTTTTAGGTATAATCAATTTTCAAATTTAACCCAAAGAAAATATCCAACAAAACGAACAACGGCATACCCTGTTTCACAGCTTTCAGTAAAGAATGTTGATAATTTCAAGGTATGATAAAAAAATCATTAAATTATTAATTTATAATCTAATTTTTTATCATAAATTTTTAATATCTTAGGACTTGGGGATAAGGGAAGTTTTATGTAAAGCTTTACGACAAAATTTTAACATAACAAAACCAACACCATGTCAACAAAAATTAATTCCTTCAATTCTTTCCGGGAATGATGTATTAATTCGAGATTTAACAGGATCAGGAAAAACATTCGGAATAGTTTTAGCATTACTTAGCAAAACACGTATAGTACCTAAATCATTATCTCAAAACACTCGTTCATCTATACCAATAACAACAAATTTATTGGTAGTTCCAAGTAGAGAATTAGCATTTCAAATAGAATCTTGGATTCATTCTTTATTTCGAGATACAAATTTACCTATGAAATCAATAATTCAAGTTGCAGTTAAGACTGCAAAGGAAATTGAAGAAGAACAATTAGTAAATTTTAGAAAGACACCACCACTTCTACTTGTAGGTACAGCTAAAAGATTATTGGAACTAGTTGAAAATCATGGATTAAAGTTTCACGGATTGAATACTTTGGCATTGGATGAAGTTGATCATTTAATTAAATTACCTGGAAAACATGCAAATTTGAAAAAAATCATAAATCGAGAAATTCATCCAAAACCAACTGAATTATTAGCTAGACATATATTAAGTGGATTAAATAATGACAATAATGAATCATCAAGAAATGAAAAGATTTATTACAGATATAAGCCACAAGTGATTATAAGTTCAGCTACGTTAAATAGAGCACTTAGATATTATTTCAAAGATAATCAACTAGCACCAAATCCTATATTTGTTGATATGAGTCAAGGAAATTATTCTCCTCCAACAATTACTCATCATTGTCTTACTATTACATCAAATAATATTAGAAATTTAACAACTTCAAATTCAACAAGTGAAGAGGAAAGAATTCAAGATTTTGAGGAAGATGATGATCGAATGGTTGATAGTGTTGTAGGAACCATCGAACTTGAGAAACAAATGATACAAACTGGAATTATTTTTGTTAATCATAAAATCAATGTCCCAGAACTTGTAAAAAAATTTAGAGAATATGGAATTCCAGCAAAAGAATTAAGTTCATCTTATATTCCAACAATTAGTGAACAAGGATATTCTTATAATTCTCTTAGCACAATTGAGACCGATTTAAATGACATTGTAACACAGTCTACATTTTCACCTAAAACAACGATATATGTGGCGCAGGAATTCACATCACGTGGAATCGATATACCCAATATTTCGCATGTATTTATTTTGGGAGTTCCAAGCTCGGCTGCTGAGTATTTACATATGTCCGGGAGAACAGGTAGAATGGGCGGAGATGGTAAGGTTATAAGCTTTATTAAAGATGGTCAAAAAAGGGTAATGATGAACTATATCACTTTTTTAGATTTGAAACTTGATAATTATGAGCATGTTGATTAAAAAAAAAAAAAAATTCAAACAAGTAAAAAAAATGTAATATAAATAATCTTTTATTAAAATTAAAATAATTTCTTTATTTATAATATTTTATACATTTTATTTTTCAGTTATGAAAAAAACTTATTAAAAAATCTAAATAAGTTAAATAAAAAAAATCACGATAAAAAATAAATTAGGAAACCTCGGCCGCAATGTGCATGTGACTTGTTTAACTAGATATATAAAAGGAAATAGTGCGATAATTATAGTCCTTTTTGGGGACGATTGTGTGACGGGTGTATGTATAATTTTTTTAACGGTTTAATTCCGAAAACCATCGGAATTTCAAGATAGGATTATTCCATAGCACAAAGTCTTTATTCCATATAGCTTGAATTTCATAAAGAATTCCCTGATGAAAAAAAAGAAAAATGAAAAGAGTGTTAGGAAATTCTGAGAACGTTAAATAATAATGTTATTATAATGCTTTAATTGATTATTGTTGATGAATGGATTTATATGTATGTATCTGTAGATTGTATGGAGTTTTCAGTTTGAAAAAAATCCGAGTAAATAGCATATTCATGTGAAATATGAAATCAAATAACTTAATTTATTATAAAATATTAAAATTCACGTAAAAATCTAACTGGAATGTTAATCAAAGTTTAACACCGAAAAATACTCACGAATTTACATAAAAAGCGCGTTTCTGTTCGTAGTCAAAAAATATAATTTTTATTCAATATGTTTGAAGATAAAGACTTTAACATCATAAAATATAATCTTTCTCGCAATTTTAATAATTTTATAACAAAATTATTACAAGAATTATACATAATTCTTTTAAATATAGACATAAAACATGATATTGAAGTTCAATTAAATGAATTTATGAATAATTTCTTATTTGAATATGAATTAGACACTAAAGTTATATTTGATATTATGACTAGTAATTCTCAAAATATTTCTTATTATTCAAGTTTAATCGGGTTTTTTTATCAATATGGAATTGGATGTGAAATTGATAAAATCAAAGCATCCGAAATATTTTTTGATACTGTTAAAAATAGTTTAAATCAATTATCTTTTGAAAAGATAAACGATGAAATCACTTTCTACGATGATGACAATGTTAAAAAGTTGAATATTATAATTTCATTTTATCTTTATTCTTTATCTCTTTATAAAGATATTATCATACATAGAAAAAATAATTATAAACTACATATAAAACATGCCGAAAAAGGAAATAATATATCCCAATATTATATAGGCAATTGTTATCGTTATGGTATAAACATCAAATATGATTATAATAAGGCAATTGAATGGTATTCAAAATCATCAGAAGGAAGAAATATTATAGCAACTTATAGTTTAGGTTATTGTTATGATCATAGAGATAAGATGAAAGCATTAGAATTATATTTAAAATCTGCTGAAGGAGGTTATAAACATGCGTTACACATGGTGGGAAATTATTATTATCATGGTTATGGTATTTTAGAAGATAAAAATAAAGCTTTTGAATGGTATTTAAAGGCTGCAAAGAAAGGTCATGCTTTTAGTCAATATTTAGTAGCAAATTATTACAATGATGGAATATATATCCCTAAAAATGAAGAAAAAGGTTTTTATTGGATTAGAAAAGCTGCAATTAATGGTTATATTAATGCACAATATAATCTAGCAAAATATTATCTTGTCAATTCTATTAATAAGAATGAAAGAAAAGCATTTATATGGTATTTAATATTAGCTAATAAGAATTCATTAAGAGCAATTTATATAATTGCAAAATGTTATAGAGATGGTATTGGTGGAATTGATAAAAATTTAGAAAAAGCTATAAAATGGTTTAACCAATTTTTAAGCTTTTATAAAAATTCCCCAATTACTTTAAATGATTTTTTGAATGGTTCAAATATTAATACTTTTAAATTATCCAACCTTAAAGATTTAAAATTTTGAAATCTAATATATTATGATAATTTGTAAGTATATAACTGATAAATAATAAAAGAAATTACATGAAAATAAATATTTTTATAAATTTAAAAGTGTGAAAATTTAATTAGTTTCTCTTAAGTATATGACTAATTTGACCTGAAGTGATTGAAAATTTATTAATCAAAATGATATTATCTGACTGATTTGTGCGACAATAGATTTCATATATTATACATCCAAATCCCTATCTTTTTTTTTGCAAATTTTTTCTTTTTCTAAATTTGTACAACTTCTATTACACACTTGTCATATCACTTTTAAAAACCAATAAATCATGTCTTCTGATCCTTCATTCGAGGAAGTAAAAGAATATAATATAGAACAACTTATCACTTATTTGCGAACAAAGATCTTGAATTTTGAAGAGAATGATTTTGCTATATTTCGTAATCAGAGAATTAATGGTCAAACTATTGTTAATATGACTCAGAAGGGGTTTAGTGAACCTCCCTTTAACTTTGTTTATGGAATAGCTAAGAATCTTAGCAATTTGATCGATGAATTAAAAAGCCAAAGTAAGTTCTAAAATAAAATAGTTTAACTTTTATATGCCTTGTGTATTATTCAATAGAAGTCTTTTGTTGCAATATTTTTGTAATATTTATTAATCATTTCTATTATTTGCCTGTCATATAATAATAAATACTTACTTATTCTTATGCTTTCCTACAAATATGCTATTTGATATTATATAGGAAGTCTTTCTCTTAATGAAATTTTATCATATATTCTGCCACCTATCAAATATCCTCCTTATGCTAGTACCTCAATTTCCTCAACAAAAGTGTCTGGTGATTGGCCTATAAAAATCATGCGTTGGAAAGAATTTAAAAGTGAAGCAAATGAGTACAACTTCGTTGGACAAGAAAAATTTGAGAGGCCATACTTAATTGAAAATTTAAAAGCAATTGTTAAATCTAATGTTGAAACTGCTATGGAAGTAAATATATTTCATATATTAAACACAGTTTTAAAAAAATACAAGTTTGAGAAACAAAATGATTTGGACTTTTTAAAGGACACTTATATTAGTCCTTTTAAACCAGATTACACTTGTTATCTTAAAACAATTAATAATTTATTGAAGCAAATCTTAGCAATCGAAATTAGGAGATATATTGTTATAGAGGGTTTTGAGAATTTTGATGATGAAGACCTAAAAAGGCAAAGTTTTAGCAGACCCTTGCATGATGTAATTGAGCAATTATACAATTACATGTCAGTATTAGAACTTCAATACGGAATACTTTCAAGTTATGATTATCATTGGTTTTTTTATCGACCAAAAAATAATAATACAGAGCTTTACATTTCACATCCTCTTAAACATGACTCAACTGATCCACCAGTGCTTAAGGCATATGCATATCTAGCTCTATTAGCAGAAAGAGATCCCAAATCTCCTCATCATAATATAATTAATCATAATAAAAGGCAAAATAGTAGAATACAAAATTTACTATTACAAAATTCTGAGAATATCCAGATTTCTAGAAGTATAGGTAGTTCTTATTATAGCTCAAATGCAATATCTATGTTTTTTGGCCATTGGAAAACATGGCAACAAGATTATAATAAAATTACGGAACAGGATTTTGATTTCTCTGAATTTAAGTTTAAGAGTTTTTTAGGATGTGGACAAACTGGAGGAACTTATGCATGTGAATTCTATGGACAAATAATAGCTTTGAAGGTTTTAAATCTTTATAAGAATAGCCAATTTCTTAATCAAATGCAAAAAGAAATCGAAATATACAAACTTCTTTTTAAAATTCAAGAAATATATATTCCAAAATTGGTATGTTATGGTTATTATGAAATTGGATATGTTATGGGTATAACAATTGTTGGTACTAAGTTGAGTTTCCATAAGATAGAACAATGGCAAAAAAATAAGGCTCTCAGGGCATTAGAAATAATTCATAGTCATAATATTCTCCATAATGATATTCGAGAAGAAAATATCTTAATCAATGAAAAAAATAATATATATATTATTGATTTTGGGAAGTCAATTAAAACTGATAAAAAGAATCTATTTTGTAAAGAAAAATCTGAATTATCCCATTTATTAAATTACTATATGTAAAATTTGCTATATAAAATTTACATATATCATTAACTAGTTTAATTTTGATTGTAACTTTTTATATTACACAATTACATAATTAATGATTAATAAAATAACAAGTTATTTGCTATATTATACAAAAACAAATAAATGTAATGTTATTTAATGCACAATTTTTGAATATTGTATAATGGAAATGGATTTCATACATTATTAAAAAAAAATGAAATTATTGAATACGATGAAATATTATGCAAATAAAATATAATATTTTGGTCATAACCATTGTAATTGAAGATATGGGGTGAATTACACAGAAATTGATGTTAATTAGAGATATTCATTTATTTAGTATAAAAATTAATATTGTTACATTTTAGATAGTTTTATAGTTTAATTTATTAACATGTGATTAGTACATAACCTAATTTAATTTGTAATAATACAAATATTTTAAAATATTGTAGAATATTGTAGAACAATTTATAGTATCACAATAGTTTAGTATTACAGTAGTTTAATGGAATATTAAAATATATAAAAGGGCTGGATTTTAACTTTTGTCAAAAAGCTTTTGTTCAGTCAGTTTTGACTCAATAAATAAAAATAATAAATATTAATTATTAATAGTTATCTTGAATATGCTCATGATATGTTTGAGAATTAATTAATATTAAATTATAAATCCAGTGAATTGAAGTAAGGGAAATTATTCCAGTTTAATTATTTGATGTAAAGTTTATTTAATATAAAGGAAATTATTGAAGTTTAAAAGTTAAATTTTAAGTTTATAAAAGAAATAAAGAAATGTCAAATCTAAACCAAGTATAATATTAAACTGAGTGTTAGTCTTGTTTGCTGATATGTAGCAGATATTGGTGATACTATATCTATGCAAGAAAGAATTCAAAGCTTGCATATATTTTTTTTGCATATAATATTTCTGGTTCATGTTATTATTATACCAATAAAACAATATTCAGGTAGGATATTTTTTTTAGTAATTACTATCTACTCTTTGTGTTCATGCTTAAAAAAAATTACAAATCAGAAAATATTTAAATATTTGAATTTCACAAATGTAAGGATGCATATGCTATTTTTATTATTTGCAATTTAATGTAATAAATGTAGTGAAGAGTAATGATAGTTTTTTTTTATATGTAGTAATGTAGTAATGTAAATCATGATTATTATACTGGTATACAAAATGATAAGCTGACTGGATTCGTACAAAGAAATGATATTCCTTATACACGAGCTGGTATGTAAGATTACCAAATAATTATCCTCACAAATTTGCTTTTTTCCAGAATATTTCTGTTGGTATACCAAATAATTTCGTAATAAACCTGTAGAAGGTACAGTAAAATGCTTTGTATTATCTGGTGTATATTATTTTCATGCTTCTCCAATATATTATTATCAGTATTTACTAACATTTTTTTTTGCATTTTTAGTGATAATATCAAATCTTCTAGATATTTATTATATTCATCTAAATCTGCTTTTGCTTATATCTTTTTCAAATCGTATATTTAATAAATTTTTTTTAAATAACTATTAGAAATTTTAAAAAATTATTAAAACAAATGCACTTTTAAGTCTATAATAAATTTATATAAACAAGTTAAAAAAATACAAGTCCAATATATAGTTTTTTTTATTAATACAATAAAAAATAAATATAAAGTTTAGATTAATCTGTAAAACATGACAAATTTTCTATAGTACTATACATGCTTATTTTTTTGAATGATATCCCTCTTTCTTTTAAATTTTTTTTCAGTACATACCTTATCTTTTAATAAACCTATGATTATATCTAAAACCTCTTTCACATTATTATATAATGATGTGTAGTATGAGTTGGAGTTTAAGTTTAAGGTTTTCTTTATAAATTCGATTGAATATGCAGTGTCACTTGCCTTGGATATTTTTTTAGGGCTATATAGGAAAAAGTGCCAATCTTAACCTGTTATAGCAATACTATAAAGGTAATCAAAATTATCATTGTCTCGCTTTTTCTTTCTCTTATTTATTTCACATGCATTTTTAATAAGCTATTTGATATTTTGAATAAAGTCTACAGAGATCTTATGTTGTTTATCCTTTATGATGCAGATAAAGTCTTAAGCCTTCTACTCACATATTTACATAGTTCGTATTAATAATAAGTTAATATAATTGCAGTAATCTTAAATGGCAAAAAATTTACTTTAATTGCATAATCAACTCTTTCTTTGCCAATTATTCCATACTGAAATGCATGCTAAACTTTTTATCTATTATATTCATGATGTATAAATGGAAACATGAAGAAGTGCTACAATATATTCATTACACATGGCTTCAAACTATCTGGATGTAAAGTTTTGTAAAAGCACAATCTACCCAAAATTTCTTTTATACAATACTTGAAGACCTTATTATCATTTTAAATTTTGTAAGTTAAAGAAAAGAAAAATAGGATAGAGACTATAAGTAGTCTATGCCATTAGAGTCAAGGCCAAACTTTCAGTACTTAATATTATTTCTTTATAATCATTTTTTTCATTTATTGTAAATTTAAAACTAAATTCTTCTTGATTTAATATTCATCCAACTTTACAGAATAATCAAATTTTCTACTCCATATTCTGCTAATGCTTCATTTAAATTGAAGTATGAGGAACAGAAACACAATCTTTTATCCTTACACTTTTTAGCAAAATCAGCAAGTATTACAGCTGTTTTTATTTCAAATCCACTATCTTTAAAATCCTGTTTTTCCATTTTGAGGAAAGCCTAGCTGACTATTTTTCACTTGCAAATAATTTTCAAGTTATCATCATCAAGTTCCAGATCCTTGCAAGAAGTTGATAAGTTTAGTCAGTTTATATTTTTATTTCAATAATCTGTCATAATTTCACATTCTCATTTTTACAATTTTAGCAAACTTCAGCAATTTCAGCTAAAAGCTTGGCATTTAATTTTCTCAATGAATCAGTGGATTGTATGTTTAATGATAATTTTTTTATATAAGATGGAATAATTCAAAAATTTATTAGCATAGATAAACCATGACAAAATATCATGATTGGAATTGTGACTTTATTGGTACAGAATAAAATAAAACATAATTCAACTACAACATAAGATTTAACAAAGTAAAATGGTGTTTCTATACTAATGCCTGATTAACCCTTAAAATTTTGCAAGAAATGGCACAATTAAAAAAATTTGACTCATTATGCAGTAATAATGTGATGATCACAATACAGTCTGATCTTGATGTAACAAACTCACAATGTAACGAACTCTCGATTTACCAAACTTTTTTTTAAAAACCAGTTTCATAGTATTTAAAAACATCTTGATATACCAAATATCATATAAACTTTGTATAACGTATACCAAACTTTTATTGATTCACCGTGTATTATAAAATATAGTAAAAAAATTTTTGATACCGAACTTAGTCACATGATTTGCCAATTTCGCCTGAAATTAATTAATTTCGGCCAGAATTAGAACCACTTAATTTTTGCCTAAATTAAGACATCTTAATTCTGGCCGAAATTGGGATATTAATCACGTGATTTTCTTTATATACCGAACCTGGGTTGAGATTTGACTGTACTATAAAATCTATCACGTGATCAGATACGAAATGTCAACACTGATTAATCACTGGTTGCGTGATTATCGATTATATAAAAACCACCAAATTTTCTCAAAATGCCGTTAAGCAACATTGAAGAAAAACTTAAATTAGCAAAAAACAGACTGCTTGAACTTGATAGGAAGGAAAGTTTAATAGAAAAGAGTACACCGTCAGAGAGTACAACGACAGAAAATGCAACGACGACACAAGAGTCAGGAAAAATTGTAGTCTTTAGTGACGTGTCGCTTGAAAGATACCGCAAGTTTCATGGGGAAGGGAAACTGAAAAGGTCTAACATTTACGTCCGTCTAGTTAGGGGAGAAGTCATTGCATACGAAATGCCTAGTTCTGTTCGCGGATTCGTAGCACTAGAATTGGCTACTAAGTTAAATAATTGGAGCAACCAACTTAACGTTCTTAGTAAATTGGACATTACCATTGGTAATAACAGTGAGTATTGTGCTGATGTTGTAGCTGAGCCAAGACAAATCCCGCCACCTGCACACGGATATGAAGCGCAACCAACAATCATTATAGAAGTGGCAAAATCTGAGACTCTCAACAGTTTGAACGATCTGACGGCAGATTACTTTTCAACTTCTACACAGACAAATTCTACTCAGGTTTATTTGGCGATAAAGATATTTCCTCGTCGGCAGGACTTAACTGCAGCAATGCTTGCGATTCTCTACTTACGTAACAACCAGGTTCCAAATCCGGCAGCAAATTTTCCAAACCCTTCACCAAATATACCACCCATGATAGCAATGGCGAACACGATACCAAATATTGCAATATCATTTGGAACGGCGCCACTTAATTATCAACGAGCAGCGTTTTTTATTAACAATACTGGTATACGAAATGATAGGCTGACTGGATTCGTACAAAGAAATGATATTCCTTGTACACGAGTTGGTATGCAAGATTACCAGATAACTATCCCCGCGAACTTGCTTTTTCCCGGGGGTGTTCCCGTTGGTGTACCAAATAATTTCGTAATAGACCTGTGGGAGGTCCAGCAAAATGCTTTGTATTATCTGGTGTGTATTGCTTTCACGCTTCTCTGATATATTATTATCAGTATTTACTAACTTTTTTAGTGACCACCTGGACAGTAAGCTTGTAGGTAACTTGCATTTTTAGGGATATTAAATCTTCTAGGTATTCACCATATTCACCTCAATCTGCTTTTGCTTATATCTTTCCCAAATCGCATATTTAATAATTTTTTTTTAGATAACTATTAGAAGTTTTAGAAAATCATTAAAACAAGTGCATTTTTAAGTCTATAATAAATTCACATAAACAAGTTAAAAAATACAAGCCCAATATATGGTTTTTTTAGCTTAAAATAGGCTAAATAATAAGATAGTGTTTTTAATACTTTATAGGAATTTCACTGATTTTATAGATTTATAGTATTTTTAGCGATTTATTTTAAGTATATTATAATAAAATATCAGATTCATTTTGATTTGATTACAAGCATATCAGGAATTATATAGGGTCATATCTCAGCTATGCTAATTTTAATCAGTTTGTGGTATGATGGTATGATGTATTATAGGTATCATCCTAGCTTTCAGTCAGTTCCCAGCACTTCCTTGCAACCTTTCCGCAACAATACGAAATAATCAGTTCACACAACATATACATGAGTTAAAAATACAAGCCCTATTGGGCGAAACTTTATTAATATGCTTTTTGGTTATATAATTGTTTATCAAAGAATTTTCTTTCACTTCAATGTGTAACATACAAGTCACAGGTGCAGTAATGTGGCGCAGTAATAGTATTCTATTTATGAAGCATTTTAACAATTACATATTTAATGTCATACCAAGACAAACTCGTATAATAGTTGATAGTGAAAAAGTTTTAATTCATCCTATCATTGCCCTACCCTTATCAGCATTGATGCTACTAAAGAGGCCATAGATCTTTCGAACCCTTTTAGTTCTTTTTCAAAGAGTTTCTTCTGAAGTGTCTCTGGGAAGCTGTTTTTCTACGTCATCAGCGACTAGAGACTATTCACCATGATTTAATGATCTATAATGATTATACCGTTTCTTCAATGCTTCCCTAAAATCAAAATAATAGCAAAGAATGTCTTGTGTTGTCTTTTTAAGAAGGTCTTCACCATCAACAATTTTATTATATAGGTTGAGGAAAATATTTGAGTTACTATTCAGTTCAGAGGTGGGTTCGGTTTGTAAGATTTCTTCTTCATTTCCAGGATTATCAGTAGACAATTCTTTAATCAGTCTTTGCAATGTAGGGGAATTATCCCAGTCAACAGTCTTCTTAGACTTCTTTGACTTTTTATTAGAAGATTTTTCAGTAAAAGCAGGTTTTCTAGTACGTTTTTTCTGTGTGGTACTCAAGCTCTGAGTTTCCAAATTGTTGGTTACCATATCATCATCGTCAGTTTCCATATCATCAGTTTCTGTAGCATTAGTTGATGGACATATAGGACACAGCTTACGTGGATCATTAATGCAGTCATAATGCACAATATGTTTGCAAGTTAAGTATACGAGTGATTTCAAGGGAACTTGAGGTTGAGAAGAGAACCAAAGAAAGCCTAGAGGAGGGAGGCACGAAGAAAAATCTTCAGAGCATTTAGCACATCTCAAAATACTTTTAACCTGTTGAGTTGCTATACCCTTGATCCTTCCCATCCATATAGGTGTGAAGATAGGGCAAACATTTCACCCATTGCCTTGAATAAAGGTGAAATTCCGCTTGATTGAGAGCCCCCCCTGGGATCAGGTTCTTTTTACAGCTGGGGGCTGGACAAGTGCTTGGAGTGTCAAGAAAAGGTTTTTTTTTCGATACAAAGTTTGTGAAAAATATGTCCGCATGTGAGGTATAAGAACGCCTTAAGAGGGGACATTAAAATGTCATTGCCACATTCGGAGCATAAATCTAGTTTTGGGAAAGTAATATCTCTAACAGTTTTATCTTCGAGACTTTTGAGGATATTATATCCAAGGTTTTTAAGATTAACAAAAGAGAGTCTCTCAGATCCCGAAATACTGCTCTTTTCTCTACCGCCATAATCAACTATGCTGTATTGGAAAGGTAATAATGGATCACTATTATCTGCCATGTCACATGAGCAAAGTAATGTTCCATCTTTATACATTGCTTTCGCACAAGTCCGATGGATCATATCATCACAAACATTTAAAACGAGCAATCTAGGTGGGTCTTCTGTCAAAATGGGAATATCACATTCTCCACATGGTCCATAATCCAGGATAGTATTGTTGGATTTAATCGATGAAAAATCTGGCTCTTCACGAAGAATGTCCTCTGGAAGGTATTTCAATATATTTCTCGAACTCGAGCCCAGTTATCTTGGCCATGAGTCTGGCATTTTCTTCTCTTAGTAAGGCAAGCTCGAATTCCATAACACTTTTTATACAAGCGAAAAAAATAATGCGAGATATATACACCTTACATGTCGCACAGCCCCTATTCTTCGGCAGATATCGTATTGCGCATTTCAGGTGATCAGCAGTCTATCGACAAGTAAGAGTCATGTGAACAAGAATAAGATTTGCTGGATTCGCTTTGCTAGAGTTTATAAAAGATAGTTATTCTGGAGTGTGTATAGCAAAACATGAAATATGAAAATGATTACCAAATGCCTTTCAAACTGATCCGGAAAATTCGGAACACTAGCTAATAATTTTTATTTTTCTAGTGGCAGTTTCACATCAAAAAAAGCACAAGCTGGTATGGGTAAAACTTTATTAATTGATTGATTTCAAGATATATTAGAAGTATATTAGTTATATCATTGTTTTTTGATAGCTATACAATAGATTACAAAATGCGTTTCATAAGATAATACAAAATATATAATTTGCATATACTAATATTCACTGAGATTATTAATATGACCAAATCAACGACTTCTTTAATTATTGTTTACAATAGATAGATTTTTATCTGATGAAAAAGAAAATAGTTATAAAAAGTTAAATAAAAAAAGAGTGAATGTCACACGTACCAACTTCAAATTCAGTAATGGTTCTACACCCATGCCACCTTCTTGGGTTTATGACCAATAATGAATTAATGGAATTCCAATCAAATATACGACCGTAACAGTCAAGAAAAACACTCTGTAGTCACGTTCCCCAACAATGATGATGTGATTAAATCCAAACTCTTTAATACCCTCCAAATATTGAGTAAGTTCCAATTCAGTAAGTTCCGATTCAGTAAGTTCTGATTCTTTGCTTGAGAGATTAAGCATAACAGAAGTTGCAATATGATGACGATCACATTTATTCTGACTAACATGAATGAACTATTATATGCATGTGATGATTCATGTAGTCCATTACCTTCTGACCCCTTATACACGGAGGCTTGACGTTCAAAGTTTTGTATATGGAAATTGTTCAGAAGCACAAGATGTCATAGTGTTATCAGTTCCTCTGTTTCCTGAAGTGCACTTGGGCGATATTTCCAGTTCTTCTCCATCTTCATGATTATTCTGGCCAGGAGTTTTTGCCTTTGGAAAAGATAAGCCCGTGACATTTTCTCCGTTTGACATAGCGTCCCCACAGAAGGCAGGCCTTTTTCTGTTTTCAGACATTTTGAGCGGTCATGAATAGCCTTGGCACGTGTTGGAGCTTTTACGCACTCCGTATGACTTAACTCAATCTCCTTACATTTGTGAACAATGGTAGCGTCCCATACAGTGTTAAAGTCTAAATTAGCTACGAAACATAAATTAGTCTTTTCCTAAATTGACTTCCTATCCGTATCCTAAATGGTGCGTTATTGCAAAGCTTTCCTAACTATAATGCTGTAAGAAAATTTTGTGCTTAACATAGATCACGATCTGGATGGACGAACATTGCATGGTTGAAGTGAAAACCAATAAGACCAAAGGAAGTCCTGGTGAATACACCACAATCCCGTCTGGTCCGTATAGCATCATTATTCCTTGATATCTATGTATAACGTTTTAAAATTAGTTTTTGTCGATAAAGGTTGTTATTATCTGGTCCATGGTTCTTTAATCGCGAATTCCTCAAGCCACTGTAAATTTTATTAAATAAAGAAAAGCAAAAATGAAAATGGAACGTATGTTTATATTTAACTCTTGTAAAAGAAAAAAAGAAAAAAGATCGGTAGACTTAAAACTAGACTTAAAAAACTGTTTATTTTATGTGAGGAAATTTTTCCACAACTGTTACACTGCAGCTTACACAAATCAGATCATGTTACAGCGATCATTGCTGGAGAAATAAATATTTGACAATGCCAAAAGCCATACGATTGCTACGGAACAAATAACCGCTCCCAAATTTAGAGCCATGGATATAGTTTATGACAAAACACAAGCCACATACTGGGAAATTTTTCAGAATGATTTGTTAGAAAAACTTCCGATGTGGCAACGGATCGAAAACAAATTGCTCATGTCAAAGATAATCCTGAGGATGCTATAGTTATTATTACAGGTTCGACCATCGAAGCAGCCAAATCTAAACTCAGAAGAAATCAGGAATCAAGAATAGAAAATGGAATCAAATATCTTCGAAAACGTCTGCGGAGAAAAATACCCGTAACCTCGCTCGGTGGCTAAATTTTGCGATTAACACGGATGGTGACAAGGAGGGAGGCCATCATTTAACAAATTAAGCTCCGATCCTATTGAATGGAACGACATTGTAGACCGGTACAATAACGATTACCCTGCAGATAGAGGATACGATGTTATTTAAGCAAGCCAAACCTTTTATTTTTGGAAAAACAGCGCAAAGAAATCACTGATGCTATAGAAAAACGAATCCAGCAAATTTAAACGGAACAGTCAAAATGGATAAATAATGTGCTGGATAAACAAAAACATAACATTCCGATTTAAAACAACAGCCATCAGGAGAGATGGAATTATTGGTTGATTCAAAGGAAGTAGCTGAACATGCAGTTTCATCCTATTCACATCAGTTTAGGACTAGAAATATTAAATTCACAGGACTTCATGATATGCCCAAAATATAGCGAGCTCACTAATGAAATTTCAGAATATGAATGGGATAACATTTTAAAGGACATTAATGAAAAGTCAGCATCGGGTAATTCAGGTATTGGATACCTCGTGATCAAGAGGCTCCCGCCAAGGTTGCAAAATCTTATTAGAGAGACATATAACCTAATGCTAATTTCAGGACATGGAAATTTTCCACGATTATCCCCATTCCGAAACCAGAAAAATTTAATTACAACATGGCCAACGTTAGACCAATAGTACTGCTGGATACTTTAGAAAACTTTTAACCAAAATTATAATCTCTAGGCGGAGGACGATCTTTAGGAACAACAAGGACATTTTATGTCCGGTGGCCTTAAAGGCGATTCAACGTCATCGCCTATCCATTTAATTAACAACCTAATAGAAGACGAAAAAAAACAGTTATGGATTATGTTTCAGGACATTGCAAAGGCATTTGATTCAATCAGTATTAAGGGCTTAGAACTCGCCTTACAACGTATAGCTGTCCCACCACCTATAGTTAGGTTAATTGACAACCTTTTTCAAGGAAGAAGTGACAGTCTCTCTCCAATTTTGTGGCGAATATATTACGACCCTTTACACGCAATTACCAAAAGACAATAAAGAACTTGGATATGAAATCAGTTGCAACTGGCCCACCAACCCTTCAGACCCTAATAGCTGGGTGAAATATCGGAAAAAAGTAGCGGTTACGGCGTACATGGATGACACGGCGTTTATAGAATCGTCGAGAGAAGGAATGCAGAAGTTTTTAAACATAGCCAACTCCTTTTACAATATGATGAATATAATAATCAACGTTAAAAAATGTGATCTACTAGTTTTTAATTCACCATTGCCCAAAGAGGATAATAAGGTTTATTTGGGTAATTCAACAGATGATTCAGTGTCAGCCACCAGAGGAGATGTTCAATATGTCTAGCGGAAAAAATGCTCGTAATCTTAGCAAGCAACGTATAATTGGCATCAGGGATGTATTCTTACAGTCAATTAGTAGTCGTTTATCTGGTCAACAAGGTGCTGTATCCAAAAATTTCATATCTTAGTCAAATACTGAGTCTATCGAAAAAAGAATAGGACAACATAGAACGTCCAATCCAGCAGTTGGTTAAACACTCAATGGGTTTACCCAAAACAAGTTCAAACTCTATACTTTTCTACGAAGGAAATGTAGGATTATTTTGTCTATGGCAGTATATTGCTACAAATAACATCACGGAATTTATCAAGGCCTTGAATAAGAGAAACACAGCTTCAGAAACCATTATGATTAGGCTCAGGCAGGGACAGATTGATGCCAGATGTCCATCATCCATTTTTAGTTCGATACATAAGTACAGAGATGTTTTCAAAATCATAGCTAATCATAACTAGTGTTGATCTCCGTAATAGTTGTAAGTCCAAAAGTCAAGTAAATATAATGGTTGTAAATCAAAATTACTGTCTTTTAGCTAACTACAATAGTGTAGTATTTACAGCCAATTTACAGCTTACGTTTATAATATTACAACCGCTAAAGGTTGTAATTCGATATATAATAATCGTTACTTACGGCAACCAACCTTAATCATAACTTTGCGGTTTACTGCCTGATGTTAACTTACGACATAGGAATACAAATAAACATAGATCAGATAATAATGGACACTTTTACTATTCAAGGAAAAGGTTTGCCAATTATCGATGAATGGTTACGTCATTACTTAATAACAATGAATAGATATAAGGACAAATACCCGTTGTTTTTTACTTCACAACTGACCACTCATGATGGAACCACATGTTATCGTGAGCACAATCAAGAATGTTATCAGGATTCACCGCTAAGGGAAAAAAGGCTAAACGGTTCTGCCGTTTTGTAACATTATTTCTAAAAATTATAGATAATCGCCTGTTACGATCAGGAATAACCCATGAATCTCATAATTTCGTTGATTCTCATCTCCAAATGCCCTCAAAAGCCAAAGAATGGATTATCATACAGGGCTTCCAAGGATGGAGATTTGCCATAATTATCGAAAAATCTCATAACGTCGACACATTAACGGTAGAAATATGGAACTTATGTAAATTTGATCCTCAAAGTGGTAACGCGTACTGGTTAGAAAAATCAAATATTTGTCCAATTAAATATATTATTGAATTATTATCTAATATATTAATCACATGCAGACACTCTAGAGTTATATCGGTGATAGGTCATAATAATTAATTACATGTTAACACACGTACCAGTTAACTTTCCAATCAATACTCAACAATCATTACTTCCAAATCATATGACGTCGATGAGCCGAGGGCTTCAATCCTTTAAAGAGAATGATAGAGAAACTCTTAATATAATAATAGAGGAAAAAAGTAAATTAGACCAAGTGGAAATCCCTTGTCTTATTGAAGATAAATATCGATGGATTGATCAATGGTTCGGCTCTTCGGAGATAGGGCATAAGCTGATGAACATCAAAGATCAGCTGTCGCATTTGCAAATATTAAATTTTTACACAGATGGCAGCCTTAAGAAGCACGAATACAATAGCGTTCAAGATAGTAATGCTTGTTAACGATAAATGGAATCCGGACTCTTATGAAGTTTACAAGGAGCAGCCTTTATAGAAACCACTACAGAATTATGTATGAAAGCCAGGATCGAGAATTGGCCAGAGCAGAATTATATGCCGTTAACATATACACGGACAGTGAAGCCGCGATCAATGCTATCAATGCGACTTTGTTTAAAAAATCTCGTCAATTATAGATAATAATAATTTTTTGATTTTTGCAGAAAATAGGTAGGGTTGTGCAGGACGGTATGTTAAGGTTGGTACTTCATAAGGTTAAGGGACACAGCGGGGATTATTGTAATGATAAGGTAGATAGTTTAGCGAAAGAAGCCCTTGGTGCCCCCTTCATGGAAGATGTATAATATCGCTTTAACCAAGGAGCAGAAGATTAATCATTTATACCGAATATAGGGAATATACCAATAGAGAAGAAAATCAGGAAGTTTGTTAAAGTTTGTTAAATGATGCGCAATGGAGTCAACTAAGTTGCAACTAAGATAGCCTAATTGACAGATCCCATGATTTCGATTGGACAATCACATGGAACGCACTCAAACAAGTCAGACATTTTAAATGTACAAGTTCAAGACGCAGCCCTATGGTCAAAATTTTAAACATGTTACCAGTAGGTCAAATTCTCAAAAAACGCAAACCTCATTTGTATAATTCATTTAAATGTCCAATGTGCAACATGGAGGAAAAAATATTAACCATATCAAGGAATGCAAAGGGAAAAAAGCACTCGAGATAAAGAAAGTTATTTTCAATCAACTCAGGACATATATCAGAGACTGTTGTACAATGACTTAAAGTTAAACACCAGCATAATCAACGCCGCCTTGAATAATTTGATGGGCATCTAGTTTCGGATGAATTTGACTCGCTATACCATAACGCATTACAGGGTAAAATGGACCTGGCATTGTCCTCGCGTTTATGAAAAATCTGAAAATCACCAGGAAAAAGACAGTCACATTATGGTCCAAAATTCTTATTAAAATGGTCACTCTTATTAAAATGGAATGGTGGCTCCCTAAGTGCGAGTTGACTATACAATGGGAAGTATCTCAAGGAATTGATCGCATGAAAAGCTCAAATAATGGATCATCATCAAGCAAGAAACCCACAGCTGTCAACAACAGAAATATCCATAATTTAGACGACATCGAAGTATACGAGGGACTCACAAACGGATAGATTCAATTTCGCCTTTACGAAAATGAAAGAACAAGCGCTCCTTATTGCGAAGTTGGAATTTTAGGACTGAGGTTACTTAGGACGATAATGATCGAGTTTAGCAATATAGAATGGTTATAATGGTTATATTTAGTTTATATATGTATATTATAATTTGTTTATAAACATCTGGGATGTTATTTATTTAATATAGGTCTAGTTTATTATAATTTTACCTCTAAATAAGGGATCATAGTTCCCTTTGAGTATAATAATAATAATAATAATAAAAAGTAATATATAGCAACTTACTGCCTTGTAATATATTGATAAACTTTTAACGCTAAAAAATCTCGTAAATATTAGCAAGTTTCGCGATAAAAGAACTTTTTATATATTATAAAACGGTTTATATAAGGCAGTATGTTCATATGGAAAAAAAAATCGCGTTTTACTAAATCCAAGTGATCGACATGTGGCTTGGATTTCACATATTAAATCGTATGCCGATATGTTATAAATGGAAATGATGTTCAGTAACGTAATTATAAATAACAGGTGATTATCATAATTTTTTTTTATACGAATCTTTATAATGTTAATAAATAAATTGTTTTTTTCACTAAGGAATAAGTGTAAATTTGTATCAAATCTGGTAAGAAAAAATTTTTATATTTAAAAAACTAAAATGATATAGTTAATAAATACATATCTTTAATATCCTTTAATATTAGAGAAATTATGTGACTAGAGATAATTCTAAAAACCAAAAAAGAATAACATTTTCAGGAATTCAACCTACAGGAATACCACATTTGGGAAATTATCTTGGAGCTATAACAAGTTGGGTGTCTTTACAAAACAATCAATCATCTGAATCAGAATTGATATTATATTCAATAGTTGATTTACATGCACTCACAATTCCGAAAGATGCTGAAATGTTGCGAAAAAGTAAAATTGAGATAGCAATTATATTATTGGCTTGTGGAATTAACCCAAAAAAATGTTTAATTTTTGAACAATCAAAGGTACCTGCACATTCGGAATTATCATGGATATTGAATTGTATTATACCAATTGGATGGCTGTCAAGAATGACTCAATGGAAGACTAAAATTCAAGAACAAAAAAATATACAATCAATAGAAGACATTGATATATCAATTGGATTGGATTTAGGTCTATTTACATATCCTGTATTACAAGCTGCTGATATATTACTTTACAAATCTACTCATGTACCAGTTGGTGATGATCAAGTTCAACACTTGGAATTAACAAGAAATATAGCTGAAAAGTTTAATAAATTATACAAAAAAAATGTATTTCCATTACCACAAACTATTCTTGGTATGTAAAGCAGGTTTTTGAATAATTTTAATTAAAAGCTAAGATTTCAAATTTTTTAAATTTTTTAATTAATAATGAATTAATAGTTCCGGCCAAACGTATTTTATCACTTAAAGATCCTTCAAAAAAAATGTCAAAATCATCACCATTTGAGTATTCTAGAATAAATTTAACAGATTCACCTAAAGAAATTTCTCAAAAAATAAACCGAGCTACTACTGATTCACAAAAAGGCATTTCATATTCACCTGATATACGTCCTGGTATTTCCAACTTAATTAATATTTATTCCAGTTTTACAGGTTTGACTATTGAACAAGTTGTAAATAAATATAAAAATTATGATAATAAAATGTTTAAAGATTCAGTTACAGAAGTTGTTATACAACATTTACAGCCAATTCAAAAAGAAATTGAAAAGCTAAGAAAAGAAGAAGGATATGTAAAAAATGTACTTGAAGATGGTGCAAATAAAGCTAATGAAATTGCAAAAAGAAATTTAAATGAAATATATAAAATTATAGGATTATACCATTAAATTATTTCTTTTATATAAATATAATATAATAAAATATTTATTATTTATATAAAATTATTAATTAAAATCTTTTTATATTATAAATAATTATAAATAAATTATATAATATATATTATTTTAATACAATTTTAGTTAATCAAGTTTAAATTAATATTTAATTATAATTTAATCTTATTGGAAACAGTAACTTTATATTATTATTTTCTTTTTTTTTTAATATTCTACTTTCATGGTAATTGGTATTTTATTAACAGATAATAAGTGTAATTTTATTATTAAGAAATTAATTTACATATTATAATCACAGAAAGATTAAATTGTAGTACTTGATGATATTCTATTTAAGCTGAATTCAGTACAATTTGAAAACCCATTAAATGAAAATCTCATTTTATCAAAGTGCTATAAAGTGGAAAAAAAAGCTTATTATCAGATGTGTTTACTAATTAATAATAACTGGTGATATAGATGGGCTTATAAGAAGACAAAAAATATTATTATTAACAATGTTATAATAGACCTAGCAACAATATAACTAATATTATTCTGGTTTAAATTTATCAATTCTGAAAGGAAATAGGCAAAAAAGAAAAAAAAAAATCAAAAATCAAATTAAAATCAGTATAGTTTAAATCAATAGATATAGTATTACTTATTTTTATTTTACTTTTATTTTTATTTATATTTGTATTTTGATGATTGCATCTTAAGAGATGGCCAGAAATGATGTAATTTAAATTTTAGGATTTTTGATCCCTCCCCTCTTTATGTCATCATTCATTTTAGGAAATGTAAAATTAAAACATAATTCTGACTAGAATTATATTAACTACAAGTATCTAAAAAGGGAAGGTGTGTAACATCATCATAGTCTTAACCCCTCTCCCTCTTAGGAAATGACGTCATTTTTGGCCATTCCCTTACTAGATGGATATAATTCATAATAATTTGTTTATATGGTATATAAACTTAATATTAATAAAGTATATATAAATTATTAAGAAAAAAAAAAATTTATATATCATATTATAATAATAATTTAAAATAATAAATATTTAAATTATTATATAAGGCCACGCAAACTAATATTTTCGGTTCACGTAACATTAAAATTTAAAATTGACCTGGGGACCCGGGTTTTATTTTTTATTAATAAAAAATTTTTATTATAAGTCACGTGACTTACTAGATGAATTTCATTCCAGTTTGTTACTAAAAATGCCTATCATACATGTACGAATAAGTTACAACTCTGTAACTTTAAAAGATTGGGAAGGTTTACCAGTTGAAAAAGAGACAAAAATGAAGGATTTTTCTAATAATATATCAATTTCATGTTTGTCATCTAATTTCTGGGAAGCAGATTTTAAGATTTAACCAATAAAATCACTTGAAATCATGTGAAAAAAAATTTTAGATATAAAAATTTTTTGGTCAAATTTTGAAAAAGTGACCCAGCTGGATGAAGTGAACTGAAAATATTAGTTTGCGTGGCCTAATTTAAATAATTATAAATTAAAAACAGTAATTATAATTTTATAATAATATTACCGTATATAGCAGATTACAGTACCCCGGGTATTTTGCAAAAATTGGGGGTTTAACTCTGTACCTTCAGGTACTAAACAAAGCCTAAAAATTCCATTTTTTGCGAATATCTCACGATTTACCAGTCCAATTTAAATGATCTTTTTTTTATTTTGAAGAGCTTAATGAGAGCCATCAAACAAAAAAAGATGGCTCAAATCTAATTACTGGATCACAAGATAATTGTAAAATATCCTCCCGGGTATTATATAATTCTATAAAATTTTCCAAGGGGGTACTATGCATAGGGGGGTACTATGGAACTCGTTCACATTACCGACAATCATATTACCGACAATCATTTTACCGACACTCATATTACCAACAATCATTTTACCGACAGGTACACTTTACCGACACTCATTTTACCGACATTCATTTTACCATCAACACTTACAGTATTCATTACTATTTCACTACCCACTTCAGTTATAAAAATTAAAATACATATTTAATATAAAAGAATTTACCATAATATATAAAATAAAAAATTAATTAATATATAACAAAATGTAAAATACAATTTTATCAATTTTATTTTTTAAAAAATTTATTTCAGCTTCATAATATATTGTACTTAGAATTGTTCTTAATAATTTTCTTAATTTAGTTTATATAATTTGCTTTTTTTGTAACTTAAAAATAATTATTATTTTGTCAGTAAAATGATTGTCGGTAATATGATTATCGGTAAAACGTACCTGTCGGTAAAGGGAGTATCGGTAAAATGATTGTCGGTAATATGATTATCGGTAATGTGAACCAGACCCAGTACTATGGTCCGCAATATATGGTATATAATACTAATCAAAAGATTTTTTGATATCTTTATATAAAATACAGTCCCCTCTCGATATAACGAACCCTAGGTTCCAGCTGATTAGGGCTTCGTTATAAGCAACTTCGTTAACACTATAACGAATTATTCGGTATTGTATAATGAATTCTTCGGTATAGAAA